AGGGCAAGGGTAACACAGTCTTTGTCGAGACTGAACTCTTTGAACATGGTCCTTTTCCGAGTTATCGCCATAAGCGAACTGAGTCCATTGCGAAGCAGGATGGCATATCCACCCCCCTTCCGCTTTGACGACGGCCTGCAGCCTGGCCTGTCTCAACGGCCTGCTCTTTGCATTGATTGCCGGCATCTCATATGCCAACCAGATATTGCAGGCCTCTTTTTATCTTCTGGTCAGGGCTACTCAACTCCGCTGCGACCCGGTCTGAGAGTCCTTGCAAGCCTTGCGAAAAGAGACGGAGAGAGGCGCGCTTCTGTACCCTGCGACGGTGAGATTAAGGTTGAGTCTATTGCGAGTGATTAGGCGCGCCTTGCGGAACCGGGCGTGAACCGGCTCCTCAGCTTCACCGCTCTTGTTTGTTTCGGAGGGGGAGGGTAGGGTAGGGGACTCGAATGTCACCTCGGACGAACCACTGCGGGCCTCCCTCCTGCGTTTTTTCCCCCTGAGACATTCGCCCAAGGTCGCGACGGCCACGAAGAAGCTCCCCGATTGAGAAGGCGACAGATCCCCAAGGCGGAGTCGTTTCTGCAGTAAAGTGCGCAGAGTGGGCCGCGATTGGGATATGATCTGCGGTTTTGTTTTTCGGTAGGGCGAGACCTGCAGGCTAGCAAGCTCACCGTTGTGGTGATCTTTATCTGCTCAACTACCGAGCCATTGGCGGGAGTCTCCGAGCGTAGTCCCCAGGCTGGGACTGCCGGGGGGGGAAGAAGATTTCGGCGATTGGCCTCGAGATCGGAGACTTGTCTCGAGCCATGTGGGAGAGAGTGCGTGTGTCGAATGGAGTGAGGCGAGGCGTGCTAGATGTGCGAGTGGCTGGTCGAGGAGGTTGATTTCCTCCGTCACGTCGCATCCGAGGCTCGCGCACCTCTGGACGTCAGCCGAGGGGTGGCCGGAGTTGACCGAGCCGTGCCCTTTGTGGTTCTGAACTGGTCTTCTTCGTAGAGACTCGACGAACCCCACAAGCGGTGGCTCATGAGGACGAGACGAATGGCAAGCCGTCGACCGTGGTCTCCCTCACGGGCCCTGAAACCGCTGTTGAATTTGAGAGACAACGTTTTCGCGTGTTCATCCGAGTTCGTCGACCTCGCCTAGTCGCGAGACGATTTACAGAGTACCCACGACCTCTTCTACAAACTGAGGCCCGCCGTTCTGTAACCTCGTTAAGCCTGAGGCGTCCACGTCGCTTCTTCAGTGCCAGCCTGAGATGATTGATGGCGCTGAACGTGACTGCAAGTCCCGCTCTGGCCAAAGACGAAGGACGGGGATCACGGCCCAGAGTGGGTAACGACGGTTTGAAGTGCCTTGGCCCTCTTGTTTACAGGAAGCCCGGTACACCCAATCTGGACAGAGTTGCGAAACGGCTGAGTGCGATACGTTCTTCAATGTCACAGTCCAGAGGACAAACGACGAAACACGGCACTCATCCGAGTCTCTCGTTTCCCCCCCTCGTTGTGGGGGATGTCTGAAGAGAGGTTGAACGTGTAAAGTCGATCTGTGGGAAAGCGGCTGCGACCTACCTGATCGGGCGTGGGTAGTCTTGGCCAAGTGCCTGAATTCTTGTTGACCCTGCCACATGGCTGCTGTGCCGAAGCCTATGAGGATGGCCTCGTGAGGCCGATCCCTGTACGGCCACGCAGCTGCGGACGGGCTCGGTCGACGTTTCCAGAAGACTCGACATCGATCCTGTTGAAACGGGAAACTTGGCCGGGTCTCGTTCTGAGACGTTTGTGATTGGGTGCGGGTTTACGGTCGTTCAAAGCTGTCGTCCGGTTGGCTTCGTCTGTCCACATCTGTTGCGTGTTTGCATACTCTGTAGTTGGTAGAGACGCCCTGCGTTGAAGAAGAGGGCGTAGACCTCGCTCGGGTGGAGGTCTCGCGAAAGGTTTTCCGAGGATGCTCTTCGCGGCCGATCTTGTGCATCTCAGACCATTCTCACAGCTTATAGGGCATTCGGTTGCGGCGTCTGTTCTCGTACAGTCCTGGGTCTGGTGGATTTCCAGAAACAAAAGAGTATGATGTTATGTATACAGAGACAACACAACAGAAACTAGACACGTAGAAATTGAGTCACAGATGTATTCTCACCTAGTAACTTGTACTTCCACTAAGTATAAGACTTGAAAGAGATTGATACCGCAAAAAAAGGTACTTAACCCCGCCAAGGTGCTGTGGATTGAGTGCATACACCCATGATATTGGCGCTGGTGAGTTTAGCTGGGCGCTCGACGGCTATGGTACGAACGACATGACAGAGTGAAGACACAGAGGTTTCCATTGCTCCTTCGTCTCTGGAGGTCTCTATCCTCCTTGACGTATTCCGTTGTATACACGAGGAATGACGAGTGACTATCATTATTCTTTGTCGAGGGCAATCGGTATTCTCCTTACTGGACTGTCATAAGCGTTTTTGTGATGACACTGCTGGGCATAGGATTTCGAGCAGTCTGAAATGCCATGTTGTAAATCTATTTCAATTGCTGCTTTATCCCGTTTTCAATGCTTCACGTCAGGTGTCCTTACGGTGAGACACAGACATCAGATGTATGTATTACCTTTGAACGATCTGTTACCTGTGATATATCCGTTGTTGTACCAGCTGTTGTTTCCTAGTCAACTCAGATTTAAGTTACTATCTATAAACCATGAGGCACCTGTATCACAACTCCTCTTCCTGAAGACAGTTTTGTTGATACTTTTGGAGTCTACAGATCTGGATCGCACATAGTAACCGACATTCGGTATGATATCGCTGTTACACCGTCGATGTTGAAGTCGATTAACTCCCCCTATACCATATTGATCGTGTATGTGTTCGCTTATGCTTATAATATGTAGGATACACCATTGGCGACGACGGCCAGGAAAGTTGAGAACCGAGCTAAGAAGCTCTCGAGATAGCTTCCTCAACGCAGCATAACACCTCTTCCGCTAGAGCCGTCTCGAACAGAGGCCAATCAACTAGAAAGAATACCACAGCCATGAAACCGCTACCGGAATGCTGAAGTCTACCATCAACTGACACCTACAACCGACGAGGTGAGACGGATGTCTGCTTGCGTTCGAAGTTCGCGATTGCTCATGGTGAGAAATCACGGGTACCCAATGAGCGAAGGCTCATCAAGCTGTTTCCTAATGCCTGGCTCACCGCGAATATTTCATACTGCCCTCATTCTAATCTCTGTATTCTAGTTTGAGTACTCTTACATCCCAGGATAGTCGAGGCTTTGTCGGCCTCGTTGCCTTCTTCGTCCGCTTGCGAACCCCTCTTCTTGCGGTACGGTCACAAAGAGGCGACGAAGCCGCAAACTGGCCACAATAGCCGCCCTAATGGCTGTAGACAATATACTTCTCAACCTTCTGTCCGATATACAACGACTCACTGCATGCTTCTAGATTTCCCAACCGGCAGGGAGCTTGGAAGATCCTATTTGGTCAGAAACGGTAGAGACAGATAGTAGTTACGGACATACGTTGTTTTTTACATGATATCCCGAGCCCACACAGATCGACATCCATCTCTCTGAACCAGTCACGGATCACTCGTCCCGCCCCTAAAGACCTCGCCCCAGTCACTATGAATACCCATTCCGAAGATGACCAAAGCCGTAGCTCCTCGGCTCTGTGGTTTGCTGCAGCGGGAACGCAGCAGGTTGATCATGCATCAGTTCCATCTGGAACCCAATAAGCGTCCACACTCTGACGGGTGGTCTTGACCGTGACCACAGCATTTGCTCGTCTCGTGGAAGCGTCTCGAACGATGATGGCCTGTTCCGTATAATGGGATTGTATTCTATGGATTATAAGCCTTTGATTCAAAGCCATTGTTTCCCGAGGCTCGTGGCTCACCTTCTGTTGGGTTACGTCGTCTGCAGCGGCAGCATCGCCAAAGCATGAATAGTGCTGACGGGAGCCCTACGACGAGCGAAACAATGCCGATGATGGCCTCGAGTGTTACTTTCATGTTGAAAGAAGATTGGATCTGATGGCCGGACCTTCCTGGTGAACAACCTGAGCCAGGTGAGTCGATGCGAAAGACGAAGGAAATTGTATTGATCTTGGATATCTGAGTTGAGCTAGGTGTTATAAATACTGGACATATGGCTCACTATATGTCTTCAATCTCGAATTGTCTTCTGAATAACGCCTCATGGCCCAGAAGACATGCACATCGTCTCCACGCCCAAGCCATGATTTCTCAGATTGAGGAACCAGCGAATAGGAACGCTCTGCCGCCTTGAGAACGCATGTCATTTCGTGAACACGCGGGGCGTGAAAGGGGAGAAAGCTTTGTTGTTGCTTTTACAACGGCGCAGGAATATTCAGACTGCGGATTGAGCCAATAACGAATTTCATTTGTTGCAACATCTTGATGCGAGGAACTGGGGCTGTGGACAAACTGTCGGCAGCATCGCCCTAACCCGAAGGACCAACGCAATTTCAGATACCGGTCAGGTCCAGTCAGTGTCAGCTTGGGCTGCGGCACAACGACTAGCTTGAGGGTGCGTGCCTACGAGCCGCATGTTGCCTTGGTGGCTTGGGCTGAAGCCAATGATATTTGACCCTGGTTAGTTGTCTAGGGCCAGGAGCATGGTCAGCTTGCCTGCTATGCCACACCAACCTAGAGATGAGTTTTTCAGATATCGAAACTGGCCAATTGGCTTCCTTGACGCGAAAGAGCTCTACGTCAGACGTTAGTGGGTGAATTGCAGCCGCAGTCAACATTTCAGATACTGGCTTCGGCCAATCACAAAGTAGGTACACAAAGAGATAGGGTAACTGCCAGCCATGTCCCGAGCTCCTTTTCTTGTCGCCTTGCCATAACCATTTAGACCACTCGACCCCTCCTCACTCAGTGTTCGGATTTCCCTCAAAATGCGAATGCCAAGATCTGGTGACACCAACCTCCTTGTAAAGCTATTCTGAAGTTGGTTGAGGCCGACATCATGCCGTCTTCCAAAAGGGCAGTCCAAGATGCCGAATGGCTGCAGCGCAAGGCTGCAGTTCGACAGATGTTCCTCCAGAACATATCTCAATCAGAGATGAAGCGAAAACTGGAGGAAGATGGGTTTCCCGTAACGTGCGTCCTCTTACACCGTCTCTCGTGGTAGTTGCTAATGATAACAGCAAAGCACAGCTGGAATATAAGCTGAAAATTTGGGGCTTTAGCAAGAAGCTCCCAAAGACGACAAGCAGGGAGGCCTGGCAGTATGCTGACGAACTCCTCGTCAGAAGGGAGCTGCAGACCAAGTCTAGCGAAGTCATCATGGGTGGCAGCTTGGTAGCACCAGCTAAGGTTAGTAAAGAGAGGATACGGTATCAACGAGACACTTTGAGAAGAATCAAAGACAGTAAGTTTCGTCTCTACTCCCGTGCTTTTTAAGTGCTGACTGGCCTGCCTCAGAGTCAAAGAATCTCGTGCCGCCCCCAGGATTGTACATTTCCGTTTGCACGCCACCTTCTCTCCCCATGCGGTTCTCTTGGTCTCCCAGTCTTCCTTGGCTTCGTTCCCAATCTATGATCGCTAAAAGTGTGGACTCTCCCCTTTACTCAAACACAGGCGCATGGTAGACTAACTTGGAAGTAGTATTTCCTCCTCCGAATGCGTCGTCCCAAGAACTACAATCAAGCCAACAACCTCCGCATGCTCTACGTCCTAGTTTAACAAGATTGCTAGAGTTATCCGACACAGACCTGACCAGAAGCGTATCAAGTCTTGCTGCAGGGCTTGGATCCATGATGCCCGAGGCTGAAGAAGATGAGCACATAAACCGTGCGCAACTCATACTACAAGGATCTGTCAACGAGACGTCTTTCAATTGTGCGATGTTGCTCCTCTACCGGATTTCCAATTACATGGATGACAACAATGACGTGGTTCTCGATTTGCTCATGTCCTCAGGCATAACAAAGACACCACTCTCGTTACACCACACGACAGAGCCTACGATTGCAGCAATCGCGGAAAAATTGTTCCAGCGTTCCATCACAAACATGAGCGAATATTACATCAGTCCATGGAACTCAGTCATTACTTGGCTACTGTCCTCTGGCCAAAGCCCGAATACTCCCTGGGTCAATCGCCAAAACGCATTCCGCTATACACCGCTGCAACGCGCCATCATGGTACAAAACTATGATGTAGCTCTTCGACTTCTCGATGCAGGAGCTGATCCAAAATTGTGTTTTGAAGAAGAAGAACGCCCTCTACACATGTTACTCGATTTGTTATACCGATACACTTTTGTCTACCATCCAGGAACATGCAAACTCGAAAACCTTGCCAAGCGTCTCTTAGATGCAGGCGACTCGCTGCATGAGGGTCCAGAAGACGAAGGTGCTTCTGTTTTGATGCTAGCAGCAGGCATAGGCAGATTAGGTCTGGTTGACATGTTGATTCAGGATTATGGAGCGAATGTGTTGTACCAGTCACCAATGTATGCTTCTGGTGGACTAGATACATATTACGGAACACGAAGCGTCCTCGGAATGGCCGCGTCTCTTCCTTACAGCGAAGAAGCTTTGGCCTGTGTAAAGCACCTGTTCAGGCACGCACAGTTACTACACCCTTCGATGACTCCAGCTCAACTTGTCAGCTCAGATGTCGTGTTTGCCGCTGCCGCTAGCGGTCACAATGAGATTTTAAGACTACTGCAAAGTATTGGCTCAGATCTTGCCATTACTAACAGTGAGGGAATCTCCGCTCTACACCTTGCCGCGTATCATGAGCATTTCAATACCTGCAAATTGCTTCTAAAATATGGGGCTTTTGTTGACACCCCTGAGCGCTTCGAACAGCTGCCTTCGCCTCTCTACCTTGCAGCCATGAAGAACAATCATGACATCTTTAAGCTTCTTCATCAAAATGGAGCCAACCTGAACGTTGGCGTTACGGTCAGCAGAAGCGCCTTCGACTTGGAAATCTTTTTCAGAAATTCATTTGGTAACGTACCGATAGATACAATTTGGAACAACCAATCAAAGCCAGACTTTTACATCAGCTTGATGGGCGCGGCGATTCTTGGAGCCGATGACGACCAAACGTACAAATATTTAGCCCAACATGGTGCTGAATTTCTCGAATGGGCTGTATACTACGGCGCCTGTTTCCCTCGGGATATTCTGCTGGTTCGTTCTGCTTTAAAGGGGAACTCCAATCCAAATTGGCAGGGACCAGACGGGCGAACACCTCTGCAAGCTGCACTGACATTAGAAGATGACTTGATATTTGAACGATCAGTATGTGTGGATGTAGCGACTGGGCTTCTCAAAGCTGGCGCGACCTTAGCCGGCGGGGAAGCACAGCAAGCGATATATCTCGAGCGATGGGACCTCGTGGAAAACATACTCAGGCGCTGCCCCGAGGCGGTCTACCAGCAACACAACGCTATGTCCATACTCGAGGCTGCATTTCTCAGCGAATCGAGTGAGATGACAAAACGTGTACTCACGTGGGATCCGAACGCCTACGACCCTGGCGCTCTTTGCGCCGCTGTTCTCCTTGCTATCTTTGACGATATAACAGGGTCTCTCAGACGAGTTCTACGCAACCGCAAGCCATCACAAGAGCCGCAACCTTTGGAGGCTTTGGCAGTAGGAATTGCAGCTTGGTACAACAAAACGGAGGTATTAGGTATGCTCCTAGCTGGGTTGCCAAAAGCACTTGTTGCCCCGACCCCAGCCGCATCTATAAGAGAATCAACCCCCATCTCTCCACGCGGGTTCAACTTGAAGAAGTCTTTGAACAGTACATCTGGAATGGACAGCCATTCTGGCACCGCTCAAATTATTATCATTTTGTAAATGGGTCGCCCCTTGTCCTAGCGCTGTGGTCAAAAGAGTCGCTGAACATGCTTATTGATCACAACTACTGTCCTGACAGTCTCACAATAGCTGTAGCAGCCCAGAATGGCGATCTGGATATATTCGAGAAGCTACAGCCACTGAAACGACTGAGAACATCCCTAGCTTTCAACAAGGGACTCCTTTACTATGCAGTAAAAGGAGGAAACACGAAGATCCTGCAAGAACTTATAAAGGCTGGCGAAGACGTGAATGAGATTTGCAACACGCTCTCTCCTGAACGCAGCCCTCTTCAAAAGGCTACAGAAGACGGAAATTTGACAATGGTGAACATACTCCTCGAAGCAGGTGCGGATGTCAATGTACCTGCAGCAGAAGGATACGGCGCAACTGCTCTACAGCTTGCGGCAATTAAAGGTTTACTCGGCCTTGCGAACACTTTCATCGATCTAGGGGCGAGCGTCAATGCGCCTCGAGCTAGGAAAGGCGGAAGAACCACCATAGAGGGTGCAGCAGAACACGGCAAGATAGACATGATTGTCTTCTTGCTGGGCCAAGGCGTCAAGACAACCGGAAATGGCAGGCTTCAGTACTTGCGGGCAATAAAGTTTGCTGAGAGACGAGGACACTTAACTGCAGCAAGATTGCTGAGGAATCACCGAGAATGGACATTGGATGATCATTCCTGGTGGGACGAGCTGGAGGATCTACCTGACGAGGGCTGGGAGGACTTCCATGAAGATTATTTTGAGGATCTACGCCCCATCTCAAAAAACCAAGAGGAGACCCTCCTGGGGAGCGAACCGACTGAAGTCAGGGCCGAAGTGACAGCTGAGGAATCGCATCCAGAACCCGTGGATGTCACAGATGCGTTTTGCGGTGTACCCGGCGACATGGACTGGCAGAATTCGATTGGGACCTTTGAAACAATGGCAGGAGACTTCGATGAGCCCTGGATTGGGGCTGGTTACGTTTAGGTGATTGTTTATTTGAAGGTTGTGGACTTCTGGTCGGGTTTTCTCTTCAGCATGTCATTCTTTCCGAACACCAGCTCGTTTCTAAACACACCAGAATATCGACTATTCGATATGTAACTCGTTTGTTTTGTAAATACAAGCACCCAGAATCTGAGCAATGAAACTTTCATCTCGTCCCTCCCTCCCATATACACCACTTTGTATTTCTATCTCAGTCTATATGAGTCCATTGATGCGCCTTCGTAGGTATTACGGGAATTGAGGCGCTCCCGGAATGGCTGTTTCTCTTCCTTCCAGCAAAGAAGCCTTGGCCTGTATAAAGCACTTATTCAGGCACGCACAATTAGTACACCCATCGATGCCTCCAGATCAACTGGTCAACCGAGACGTAGCATCTGCTGCTGCCGCTAACGGCGCCTCCTCTCCAACCGCAATACAGCCTGCCTGTATTTAACTGCATCTCCCGTTCATCCTGAGGCCACAGTCGAGGTGGAAGCCACTCCGTAGATCGCAGTTACCCTGAGGGTTGGTTTCGTTCTTCGACTTGTACTCGTTTTCGTCGCAGTTGCACTCGTGGCAGAAGTGACTGTCATATAGGACATCGCCGCAGTAGCACTTGACGCATGCGCCGAGACAGTAGTGCTTTGCAGTAACCGCGATTGTGAACGTCAAGAGAGCAAGGAAGGAAATAAACCTCATCTTGGCGTGTGTGGTGTAAAGAGAGTTCCTGGTTTATGTAAAGACTGGTCTGGTGGCTCTGGTTGAGAGTGAGCAAAGACGTAAAAGGAGCGTGGTGTTGTTCTACGAAGACGTATATAGTGGTTTCTTTAGGTACTGCCCAAACCTCTGTGGGCAGAAGATACCTAGTGTTTGAACAAAAAGGACTGTTTGCCTGTTGTCTAAAATTTGTTTAATCTTTTACTCTGCGTCTATGAAGTAACCGGTATACCCGGACAGCATATTGCTAGAACTCTATCATTAGGATCACTCGAGAAGCCTGACAGTCAACAGACGGTATTCCCGACAAACAAAACGATTGCGTATAAGGACGACGTAAACTTCAAATAGACACCATGGTAGACAAATAAAGACACGAAAAACCTGAAAAGATCTCAGTGATCGTCAGTGCAGTCAGTCATATTAGCAGCGTCCAAAAATCATTTTTTGTTCGTGAGTGACTTGCATCGATGCAAACTGATACAAAATTGGCGATTTTTTTCACCTACATGATGCAAAAGCTGCACTTTTGGTTATCTGAATGCCTTCTCGTTGGATTTCGTAGTAAACATACTAGATATCTAGATCACTTGGGCTGGCTACGTCCTGGGCAACCAGAGAGGGGTGGTTAAGAAGAGCAGAACCCCGCCGCGACTGCAAAATTGAAAAGATACCACAAGCAAAAGAAACATAGCACGACCTGGTTTCGATCCAGGGACCTCTGGGTTATGAGCCCAGCGCTCTACCCCTGAGCTACCGTGCTTACACTGCTTATTGAAAGCGTGTTGCTGTTCGCGGTTGACAAAGGCTGGGGCAAAGTGAGTCATTTGGAATCTCAGGTTTTCTCTGAGATGTCTCCGCTGTGGAAACACCAAGGGCACAGCCAAAAGGTCGGCGACGAGGACGGAGATGGAGCAAGACGGGAGGGTCTCGTGAGATTGCTCCTTTTTTGGACCAAAAAGATTCGGGGGGTATCGCCTCCACAGCCTCCACTCATGCCGCGATCCCCATGTGGGGGAAGGAAACGGACAGCTCTTCAACGAACCATTGATAGTGTTACACAGCGCTTCAATCATCAAACCCATCAAACTCGTCGTCCTTCTTCCCGCCAGCCGCAGCCGCAGCCGCCGCCTGGGCTTGGTTCTTCCTCCTGATCTCGGCAATCATCTCGTTCAGCTCCATGGCCTTGATCTTCTCCTCCTCCGTCATGGTCGACATGCGCTCGGCCTCCTTCTTGCGCCTCCTCTTCTCGCGGCGCTCCGTCCGTACGTCGTCCCGTTCGGTCTGCCTGCTCCACGCCTCGTTCGTCTTGCGCTTGCGCTTGACCTCGTCAGCGGCCGCCGCCTTCTCGCCGTTGCGCTCGGCCTCCATGGCCGCCAGTCTCGCCGCCTCCCGGGTCTTGTCCTTGTAAGAAAAGTTGTCCCAGTCAAAGTCCTCGTTCCCGAGCCACTTGTCGCCCTCCCAGTTCTTCGTCTCAGGCATGCGCGGTAACCGCAGCAGGCCCCACGCCTTGCCGAGGTCGGTCCAGTCGAGATCCTTGGTGCGGAAGATGGAGGTCGTCAGGTGGGCGTTGTAGCTGCGCACCCAGCTCACGAAAGCCCGCTGGGCCTTGTCGTGGAAGGCGCGATCGCTGCGGAGGACGTCGCGGAACTTTTCTGATGCGGCGGTGGCCTCCTCGTCGGTGACGACGATCTCGGGTTTCGTGAGGGGGAAGATTGGCGTCTTGCGGACCTCCAAGAAGGGGATGTAGTCCTCCTCATGTCCGGGCTGCAGGAAGACGACCGAAAGACCCTTCCTGCCGGCTCTTCCAGCACGTCCGCTCCTGTGAATGAAGACCTTGGGGTCTGAAGGAGGGTCGACCTGGCAGACAAAGTCTACCTGCGGGATATCCAACCCTCTTGCTGCGATGTCTGTGCAAATCAAGACGGATGGCGATACTGAGTTGACGAATTTGGAGAAACTCTTTTCTCGGGCCTTGGGAGGGAGCTTTCCGTGAAGGGGAACTAGCGTGAAGCCTGACGGCATGATGGTAGGGAGAAGATGCTGAAAGTAGTCGACGGCGGCGCAAGTTGATAAAAAGACAATGCTCCTTTGGGGTCGCGGGCTCAGGTTTTCCAGGATTTTGGCCAATGCCGGAAGCTTTTGACTTGCTGGCGTGACGAGGTAGGACATTTGCAAGCTGATGGGCGTTTTCCGGTCCTCGATAATTCCTCCGTCCTTGAGACTCTTAACCCTCACTGCAATCTTGACGGGGTTTCTCAAACCGACAGTAATGATTTGGGAGACGGCTTCGGAAACCGAAGCGCTGAACAGGCCGGTTCTTCTCTGCTTGGGCAGATATCCCAAAACCCTCTGGATGTCTTGCTTAAAACCCATGTCCAGCAGACGATCCGCCTCATCGAGAACCAGGAGTTCAAACGACGATTGTGTGCAGCGGACGTGGGGGGACGCGAGCAGCTCGACGAGTCTGCCCGGTGTCGAGACCAGAACATTGGGGGCGTGTCTGACGAAGAAGCTCAGATCCTGCTGTGTCGTAGTCGTTCCACCAACGAGCAACTGAGGGACAATAACGGGGACCGAAGTGTCGGGGCGTTTCTCATCCTCCTTAAGGAAGGGTAGAAGCTCGGCGGACGGGGGATGGAAGCCAACGATGGACTGGAGGACGGTGTGGATCTGGATGGCGAGTTCGCGGGTCGGGGAGACGATGATGGAGAAAACGTGGCCGCGCTTCGTGGGTTCGTCGAGGCGCATGAGCTTTTGGACGATGGGGAGAAGGAAAGCAAGCGTCTTGCCGCTGCCCGTGACGGCCTGCGAAATTGTCAGTACAAAGTCGTGCGTGTGCAGAGAGTGTGTTGTTTACCTCCACAACGACGTCCTTGTTTCCGAGAAACTGCGGCAGACATGCTGCCTGGACAGGCGTCATGCGCTGAAAGCCCTGGCTGGAAACGAAGTCGAGGATCCATCTGCGCCAATGTTAGCAGGGTGCGCGGTCGCGGAAGGGTGCTGGGCGTTCGTACTCGGCCAGAGGAGGCGTGAGACCTCGCCAGGACCTGGGGTCCTTCTTCTTCTCGACGGGAGCCATCGTGAAAAGCTCAATCGGTTGGCTTGTACGGGATTCGCGAACAGGTTGAGATCAGCTCAAGTTCGCGCCGCAGAGGACTTCGACACTGTCCGAGCTGGAGGGGCTGATCTCCGAGAACTTTTTTTCGTTATCGCTATCGATACGGTCCTCTATCGATAAGACACGCTTTTTTGTTATCGATAGCAGGTCCGTCAGCGACCCACCCTTGGCGTCCAGTGACAGCCTTCAGAGTCTCCTTGGCGCCATGTCTTGTCCGACCGCCCACGGACTGGAAGCTAGCGTGATATCATCCCGTCAACCACCCAACTATCGTCAGCCATTCCGAGTCACGGATTCCGCCGTCGCACAAGCACACGCCGGCCGTCGAGCCTTGACACCTCCTGCCCCCCAAACTCTCAGCCATTTTATTTTGCGCAAGCTCAGCGCGCGTGGCGGTGTGGGAAACCAGGACGGAAATGTCTCTCCTGCGGTTCAGGTATAGCGTACATCGAAGCGGAAAGACGGTGACAAGTGCGCCGACCAAACCCACCGTGGACTCCCGCCTGAGAAGGACATGGAACCGGCGGGACGGCCGGAGATGGCTTCACATGCTTATGGAGGTAGCCCAGCCCAGTTAAAAATCACCGCAAATTGAATCGCACCAAAAACCCCTGCACACTGGACTTGGATGCTCCCGACAGGCCGTCCCTCCCTGGTCGCGTGCACCGTACAGTCTGGAGGTGGGATTCGGGGCGCTGGTCATTCGGGCCCCGGCACACTGTGCTGCGGGTTATCTAGACTGTGGGTCGTTGAAAGCCGTCTTTCTTTCTGGTTGATCCTTGTGTTGGAGGCGCTTGTCATGTTTAATATCTAATCGGCAACCTTGAAGTTGCCAAATGTGGCAGGATACTCGTAGTAAAGCATTTTATTAAATAGAGGAGACAAATTGAAATAAAATAGAAATAAATAAAAACAAGCTGCAGTTTCTCATCATGCTAAGCATAGAACCCATATCTCCACATACCTAGTAGACAAACCCGCAGGCAGACGAGTGGGCTAACTAACAGACAGTGTGACCGCTTGGCGTGCACAGTCTGGATACGTCGCCAAAAGTACTCGGTACCTTTGGCCGCGAAAAATCCTCACGACGGCATTGGCACTGGACGCACTCGCAGCACAACAAGACACCGACGATCCGGTCCAAACTCCTCGTCTTAAACACATGTCAAGCTGTCTGCTGACCGACCGCATGTCTCCGTGGTCCTCTTCTCCCCCGTCCCTGCCCGGCTCAACATGCGGCGGAGTTGCTCTCTGCTGCATCCTCAAACATCACCCTGGATCCAATAACCCAAGTAGCCTCCAAACTCGAATCCCCGGCCCAGCATAGCCAGAATCACACTCGCCCTCCACGTTTCGTCGACTCCCGCGCCCGCGCCGCCTCACCCTCCGCCGCCCTGGCCCCCCACGACGACCGCCTATCTAGAAGAGATAGACATCTCCACTCCTCACTCTGGCCCTTCCGCCTCCTCTTACCCCTCCAACGCATCTTCACGGGAGCTGTCGCCTGCCCTGCTCTCCCGCCCTTCTCCTTCACCACCATGTCGTCCGTCCGTGCTGTCCCCTCCACGCCGCGCGTCATCTCTCCCAGCCCGACACCCTCCGAGATCGATGCAGCCTCGCAAGATAACTACTTTGGCCCGGTGACGAGGTCCGCTGCGAAGAAGCGCCGTGCCACCCCTCAACCCTTGGAGGAGCGCGCCGAGGAGGATGACTACGAGCCGTCGACGATGCGCAGGTCGCGCACGAGAAGCCGCTCGCCCATCGAGTCCCGCCGAATCACCCCGATGACCTCGGTCAAGTCGCAGAGCAAGAGAGGCAAGTCGCCCGTCATCCCGAGCGAACCGATCACGAACGACGTTGCCGCCGCCGCCGCCGCCGCCCCCGGCGAAGCGAATGGCATCGCCAAAGCCCCGACCGCCAACGGCCACCTGGCCCCTCCGTCCGCCGCGCCCGCCGGCTGGAGCTGGCGGGACTTCAGTCGAAGCCCCAGCCCGCTGGGCTTGATACCCATCCACAGGAAATGGCGGACATTTGTACACAAGCACGAGGTGCCCAGGAAGGTCCTGCACGTCTCGATCGGGTTCTTCACGCTATGGCTCTACGTTTCGGGCATCCAGACGAGCTCGGTGGCACCCTGGCTTTTCGCCGCCCTGATGCCCATCACGACCGCCGATTACCTCCGTCACAACTACGCCTCTTTCAACCGCTTCTACGTCTCGGTCCTCGGCGCGCTGATGCGCGAGAGCGAATATGCCGGGTGGAACGGCGTCATCTTCTACCTGCTCGGCGCCTGGATCTCGCTCCGATTCTTCCCCAAGGACGTCGGCGTCATGGGCATCCTCCTGCTCAGCTGGTGCGACACCGCCGCCAGCACCTTTGGACGTCTCTACGGCGCCTACACCCCGCGCATCCGCCGCGGCAAGTCGCTTGCGGGATCGTCGGCGGCCTTCCTCGTCGGCGTCATTTCGTCCTACTTCTTCTGGGGGTGGCTCGCGCCCAGGACAGGACCTTTCCCCGGCGACGAGAACTATCCCTTCATGTTCACCGGGGCGCTGCATCTACCCCGCACCATCGCAAGCGCCGTGGGGCTCTCTGATGCTCAGGCCACCATCACCGGACCGTTAGCGCTCGGAGTCATGGGTCTGTGGTCCGGCTTCGTGGCGGCCGCCAGCGAGGTGGTGGACATCTTTGGCTGGGACGACAACCTGACGATCCCCGTCCTCAGCGGGGCTGGCATTTGGGGATTCCTCAAGATCTTTGGCTAAGAACGGGGGGCGCGGCTGGTGAGAACAGACGAGGCAGGAACACAGCCACAGTAGCTTACCGATGCTAGCACGCACACACCGGCGGCAAATGAGGGGATCATGAGGGGAAAGAGGTTGGAAAAAAACGCGCCCTCTGCCTCGTGTCAACGGCTGGCATGGCGTTCTAACTTTTGCATGATTAATCGGCGTTCATATCGTGTCCATGGGATAAGAGATAAGGGAGTCGGGGGCGGAGGGCATGGCATGCGAGGACGGCCGGGACGAGGAAACATACCATCATCACAAGGACGGGTATTGAGTTTGTACCATTTTTTTTTATCTTGTTTTATTTTGACGCCGATACAGGAACACCGGATCTATGGAAACCAAGGACGGATGGGAACCCAAGGGGCATATAATGTTAGCTGCTATTACAAGATAACGAGAACTATCAGAACTTTTCTCCCCTTTTCTTCACGCTTTTTGCTCCTTGTTTGCCCTCCATACACCTCTCGCCTCTCGCCTCTGCCCCTCACTTGGCCTCTATCTGATATGCATTTTCGCGCGATGACACCGATGCAAGGACAAGGCCCCGAGAAGAGCTGCGGTGGTTCGGGTCCATCTGAGCGGTCAGGCATCATCACTGCCTTAGCGTCCCTGGAGAGAGAGAATGTGTGCGAGAGAGGGTGAGAGAGCACAAGAAGGATCGACGTTGTGGTGTGTGATGGTTAAGTTTGACGATGGCTCTTGGCTTTCCGCAGAGAAGCGAGGATACCGTGTCATGGCTTGACGAGATTGGAGCTCGTACGTGCAAGATGAGCGCGCGCCGACGAGCATCTCGACCGGCATCGCAACACCGGTCGGATAAATATCCAAGTTTTTGTTCATCGGGGAGTTCGTCACACTACAGCAAACTGCCCCCTCCCCTTTCCCCCGGCAAACGCATGTCCCATCCGTCCAGGCTGGGAGCTGGGGGCGACTGGGCTGACATGTACTCTGAATTTCTTAGGCGTGTCTGACGCGGGCAGCTGCGTTGGTTGCGATGTCGTGCATCTGGCGGACCTTTCGTTTATGTATGCTTGCTTTTCTTTTCGCCTTGCTTGTCACCTCGCACACGGGGCCTTTTTCACGGGCACCGCCTCTTGATTTGGCAATGTTCCTGGGTATGGCAACACTAGCATCAAGTTCTACGGGGAGATTTGTACGAAGCGGGATTGGGCGGGCGACACACGAGACTGAACCATAGGGAGAGGCGGGATGGACGTGGAACATGGGAGACATTGAGATGTTGAGCAGTTGGAAGGGGAGCCCAGAGATAGCCGTCGGCTGGTATTTTGGTCGACCTGGCACGACGGTCGATCCGTGCAGGAGACGGGACTGCGGTACTGCGGTGCGCGCTTTTGCTGCGTTGCCCTCCTGCGAGGATGGGAGCTATGGGCAATGCGGAGGGGCATGCGAGTGTATCTGCGGGATTGGCGATGGCGTCGATGGGAGGTGAGTGAGTAGTGACACGGTAGGGTTTTTGCGGGCGAGATTGGCATGTCCCAACCAACCGCCTGAATGCAACGTCGACGTCTTGGACTTGACCACCTTGAGAGGGGTGATCGATGAGTGGTGGTGGGTGAGGGTTTCGGTTGGGGGATTCGACGATTGCCAATGGCTCTGCTGCTCGCCCTCTCCTTTGGGAATTTGAAGTAATTAGCTGGGTCGATGGGAGGAGAGAGAGAGGTTGTTGTCCAGTAACGTGGTGCCCCATCATCAAGCAGCCCTGTTTGATTGCAGCTGCATCTGCGCTCGCGTCCCGGTTCATGTCATGGCATGTTGCGGTGCAGGAGAGGCAGGCAGGCAAACCAACGAACGCCTTTTGGATAAGGTAAGGCAAAATCAGTGTGTGTGTGTGTGTGTGTGTGTGGCCCGGCATGCCCTCTCCCACCCTTTACCATCATTCTCATGATACCCATTCCATGTGGTCAATCCGGCGTATTACATATCCATATCTGTCCAGCAGCACAAATGGCAGGATGGAAGGGAGAGGAAGCAGGGCCCCGCCGGCTGTGTGCTGTTGATTCTGAATGCCGTGTCCGGCTCTCATGTTTCGCGCAACCTCGCAATGCCACCTAGTAACTCGTGGCCACGTTTGTCGTGACAAATGCGAGGAACACGGCAGTGAGAGAGGTTCAGAACCAAGCCCAGCACGAAGGTTTTGGTGGGCACGTTTTCCGCCGCACAGACCGTCTCCGTTTCACTCGTCACCGCTCTGTTTCTTACCTCGGGTTTCTAGTTCTCACCTCACCTCGCCTCCTTCTCACCTCTCCCTGTTTCCCCGGTCCCTTCACCACAGAACATCTGGGCATTGGCAATCAGCGTGGCAGCGCGGGCTTCTGTCAAATCCGGGCGGAAGCTCGGAACCTGGTGACGGGCGGCCGGGCGGGCTCGTTCTTGACCAGTGCCCTACGGCTCATCTTCCGATTCACTCGCAAAGTTCTTGTCCCATCAGTGGCGTATCGACTTGACCGTAGTTTAAGCCTCACAACCGAAGCACTGGCTGCTCAGTCACTCGCCCGTACCATGCAACCCCCCAGCCCAGATGAGAGATCGCAACCTACGGGCGACGCCTGGGTGCGTTAGCCTCGCTGCCTGCTCAACCATGATTTTTCTCCGAGGCCGCCCCAGGTCGACTATTGGCGCTATGGCTGTCATTCAAAGTCCCTACTGCAACACTAGCCGACTAGTCGAATTCGAGAATGGTCGTCAAGCCCGCCGATGCCTCTTCTCTTGTCTAGCTGGGTGCCGTTTGGTAGTGGCGGTGGAGCCCTCCCTCGGCGCGCGAATCGCATGGTGGTCCAACCTGGAGGTCATTGCCCCTCCCCACTCCTCTTGCTCCAACATCCACACCCAGCAGCACCTGGGACTTCCTGTCCGGCTCCGGCTCGAGACCCGGCAGAGCCTTGGCCTCTCTCTCTTTCTCTCTCTCTTCGACGAGGTTGCTCTGCCCGGTGCTGCGTGCGCCCGTCCGGTTTGGCAACGATGGTTTCTTTTTTGTCAGACTATGCGGCAAGTCCAGGCGTCAGACTGGCTCCTGGGATGGCCCTGGCAGATATCCTTGGTAGCCCGTGGCCCTCCATTTAGAGGGCATGCCACTCGGCTTTTTCAAGAACGCCGTTCGTCATCCGGGGGGCACCTTGCGTGGGGCATCTCGGGTCCCTGCCGGCCAGAAGAGGGTCAGAGGCAGCCCGGTGAACCGCGGTACCGCCCGCCAAGTTGAAAGGCATGGAATCCATGGGTGCGGTTAGCGGTGGTCGACGGAAGAGCTGATGGGTGATGAGCACGGCCGTTGTCTGTCATGCCCGCATCACCCCTGCGGCGTACATACATACGACATACATACATACATGTCTTCAACCGACGATCCCACTCGCGCAGGGCGACGAGGTTACAAATCCCGTTGGACGGGCTTGGAGATGCCTACAGTACAGAGAACGGGCATCTCGGGTGGCACGTAGCCAGGTAGCGGGTATGCCTTGTTTGATGCCTTGCCATGCTCACGCTGAATGTCCATGATCGTTGCATCTGAGGTTCCACCCCGGTACCCAGTCCACAATCGCCAGAATTGCCCATCACCAGTCCAGTGTCCCGGGGGGGCCCAACTCCCATCCCGGTTTACGGCGTATCGCAACAGCAGCGCACGACACGCACCGCAGGAAGGGCTCACGACCTGCTGCGGACATGGACACTCGAGGAATGGGGGTGACGCGAAGCCAATGCGCCGCTAGATCAGATCGGAAAAGGCCCGCCGTCTAATTATTGATTGCACCTGTAACTCGTGACATTAGGCAGAGAGAAGAGGGGCCCAGGTCGTCGTGGTGGGTGATGGAACCGATGATGGCGATGATGAAGGTCCCTTTTCTTCCGTTTGTTCCATTGGGTCAAGTTTGTTCGGGGGTCTTGGGTACCTCTGCGTTTGGGTCGAATTCGGGCTGCCTCTTACTCACCTCTCACCTCGCCCTCTCACTCTCTTTGCTTGGGCATCGGGCGTAAAAACCGTCAACTTTGTCAACCGGCAACGGCTGACGATGACGGAGTTGGGGTCGGGCACTTACACCGCCGCCCTTGGAGCTGCGGTGCGTGTAAGATCTGCCCCCGGCTTATGGGGGGTTTCTTCTTACACTTTCAACGGCCAGCAGAAATGCCTTTCAGATACGGCCATTTCTCAAACGCAATTTCGTTTCCCTCGAGCTCACATGCCATGCACCTCGAGACGCTCCGCTCTTGCGCATACACGTACATACATAGTACTGCCTCACAGATGCATCCACCCCCCATCTTCGCAGGCCTCTGGAGGGGGCATATGGGACTTGAGACTTGACACCTTGGTACGGTACGATGGTACATACAACGAGCTGGGAGAGATGGAGTTCCATGCCCCCTCCCCTCCGACCCTCTTCCTCGCATCGGTGACTGAAGTATATCGGCGGGGGCGAAATTCCAACGAGTCGGCGCCGCTTTTCAGCAATTATCGCCAATAATAACTCGCAAAAATCAGGTTGATTTAGGCCGACAGTGGCCCCGGTCGACGCTCTCTGCACCTGACGCATCTTCCAAAGGGCCAGGGTCGGAATGGCAGGGGGGTGGAGGGGGCAATGGGGAGCCCTGCCGATGCCCTGGAGGTGTCCTTTTCAGAGCAGATTCTGGAAGTAGTCCGTCTTTTGCACCAATTGCAGCTTCGGAAAGTAAATATTGATCGAGTCAATCAGAGACGGGAGAAGAAGACGGTGCAGCGGAGAGAGTGTGGGAGAGAGACGAGCGACGAACCCAAGACACCCAATGGGGGCGACGAGAAGTCCCGACCAATGGAGAAACAGTCGCAAAAAAAGAAAGGGACGTTTGGAATACCTGCAGGGGATGAATAAAATAAAACTAAAATGGGAATTAAAAAAAAAAAAAAAAAAAGGTCCTGGTTCTCATCTTGACAACGCATCACCACATAAAATGCCCGAATCTGCTGCACTTCTGCCTGACCTGACGCCCATGTTCAACCACAGAAAAGATACATTCGACGCCAGTCGCATCGGCACAGTCTCTGAGCGGCGGAAAGCATCACCATCTAGAGTGACCGCCCATCGCCCTTTTTACCCAAGACGATCAACATGGGGGCACTTGTTTATCCTGCCATTCCCACGTCCCCGATCCTCATGAGATGTGGCTCCCGCAGTCCAACGAGACGACGACACGAGCTGCGTGGGAGTGGGAATCCCCACGCCGCTTTTAACGAGCATACCGGGCGGTGTCTTGGCTCGGCCCTTCTTGGGGAAATGTACTGAATATGTTCTCGCCTTGCATTGTATCACCGTATCTTGGGCCGTATCGTTGAAGATGCCGACGACATCGCGTACCTGGGGTTGGGGAATACCTCGAGCGGGAAAAAACGCCAGGTTCGTTCGCAATTGCGAACAAAAGGAAACGGAGAGGAGAGACACCCCGGCCTGGCTGGTCCCGTTACATTCCTGGTTCCCCATCCCTTCCCGTCTCATTATTCAACTCTCTGTCCTGACCCAAACCTACCATGCCCTGCCCTATCCTGATCTATCCTGACGTCTCTCTTGGTTCCTTGCCCCAACCTATCCTCGTTCAATCCATCCCATCCCATCCTCGCTAGCCCGGCACCCTCGTTGGACCATAGTCTCGATCCACGTCAGGTCCTGGTCCTCACCGTAGTCCCCGGCTTTCCCTAACCGTCTTGACGTCGGTCCATCCTCGCAACCTCCAAGTTCCCTCGTCTCCCTCTCGCGTGTCTCCATGTTCCCGCCCTCCTCCTCCTCCTCCTCAAAGCCCTTCCGTCACGAATCAGAACGTTACCACCCCTCGCTCCCCTGGACGGCGAATGTCCCTTCGGCTTGCGTCTGACTGGACCGATGTCCCATACGACCCGCATAGTACCTCCGTCATACGCAGGCTTTATCCCACCTCCCATCTACGGCCATGGCGTGTGTGCCCGTAAGAAAGCAGGTCGTCGTCTTTCGACCCGGGGTTTCTCAACAAGCGTCCCGTTTGTCTACACCTCCCCGGACCACACACACACACACACACACACACACACACACACACACACGTCTTACATCCACACCTCACCTCGCACACCTCGGCCCCTTTGGAGCTAAAGCACACTCTACCTTTTTGACACGGCACCGCATGGGCGTGGGCGGAACTCGAAGGGGCCCAAAGAACCCTTCACGCCATGGCCGTCCCTGCCCACAGAGCCCCATGCCCCTGGCTTGCAGGTGCAGCCCATGCCATCCTTGTCTAAGTCGGCAAGGTCGTGTGGGAGGAAAGAAGTAGGTATGTATTTGGGAGTCGTACCTCCCATGCCATGGACCCGTCACATACATCACTGCATGTCTCTTGGTCGCCGTTTTACACGACATACATGGCTTTTTTCTCAACCCACATTCTTGTCTCGTCTCCTGCTCTTCGCCAGCCTGCGCCGGCCAAGTCCGTGCCCCCATTGCCTTGCCGGACTGTTTCTTTCCTCCGCTTTTCTTCTTCTTTCTTGGTCCTAGGCTATTTTCCATTTCGCCTGGGATATTCCAGACAGATCCATTGCCTCTTCCGGACCACCCATCCGCCATCGTGGGCTGCTCCACCAATACAACCCATGATGGTCGCCCCCTCGGCATATGCGGACACCTTGCTCGCTTTCTTTCTCTCTCTCTCTTTTTTGCCTTCAAGACTTGCCATTTTTTTTACTTCCCTCTTGATAAATGAAAACTCGGCCTGCAGATGGAGCCAGTCCGCTTCCCTGCCTCATCCTGTTTGGCCAATGGCTCAGTCCATCACCCTCCCACCATCATCCGCTGCCACCCCCCGATGCCCACACCCTCAACATCCGACTGCTTCGTAGTTGGATATCTCTCTCTTTCTCTCACTTTTCCCCCGCGGCCCCATATGCCCATGAGCGAGCAATGCGGGTGAAGACAGGGTTTAGTGTATGCCACTTCCCTGTCACCAACGCACAGGCTAGTCAGGCCCAGGCAAGTCGACCGGCTGCCGCTCTATCACGGTTGCCGTCGTCGTCGTCGTCGTCGTCTGCGACCCCTTTGCCCTCCTCGTCCCATCACATCATGCCCCTTGGACTATTCTGTCCGTTCGCCCTTGGGTGGGCCGGGGGCCGCCGGCTGTTGATGAAGCCATGGCTTGTCATCGGACGAATCGAGGGCTTGATTGTCTTATCCCTCCAAAGACAAAGAGATGGAGTCCGAGAAGGACTTGGGGCAAAAAAGTATAAAAGGGCACATCTTGAGCGGGTTGATTTTGTTCACTTCTTCTTCTCTTCTCATCACAGCTCCGGACCATCTTCAAGGCTTCTAAACAGCTTCTCCCATTTATCCTTCTCTGCAAAACAAGCAACTTCCCTGCGCACTCTTGTGTCTTAGCGAGTGCCGCCATCCTCAGTCCACCTTTGAACTTAGTCATCGCTTGTTTGCTTCAAACAAGTTCCCACACTCGCACATACACACGTCACTATCGTCGACTTATCCGGCTCTTACTTTGCCCATCATGTCTTCGCACTACAACTCGCACTACTCCCTCCCCATGCCCGTCCCCTCCCACAAGGGCCAACACTACCCAAGCTACAGCAGCACCTACTCGGTCTCGCCCCCAGAGACGGACGAGTCCGTCAGCTCTGGCACCGGTCCTTCCTACAGCAACAGCGGCTACTCTGGCGGCTACTCGGTCGCCAACTCGAGCTACGCCGGCAGCAACAGCGGCGACTTTGAGAGCACCCACCACTCGGCGAGCGGCGTCGACTTCAACGACTACATGCAGGACCGCTTCGCCCAGACCTTTGACCCCATTCCCCTCGACCGCAACATTGCAGTCCAGGCGCAGACGTAAGTGTTTCTCCATTGATGGCTCGCACATCTCAAGCAGCGCAAACGAAACAAACGGCTAACGGGGAACGCGAAAATAGTTCCGGAAAGCTCAACGCAAAGCACCGTGAGCTGCTGGAGTTGCAAAAGAAGGCGCAGGCTCGTCTCGCAAAGACGCGCGAGCGCTTCAACGAGGGCTACCGCGACGCTCAGGACGTGCGCGCGGACCTCGAGTGGACGCAGAAGAAAGTCTCGTAAGTGTTGAGCCCTTTGCCCTCCCGGGACTCCGAGAGCCGTGCAATCCCCAACGCCCCGGAAAAGAAAACGAAAAAAAAGAGAAAACAAAAAATAGAAACTTGTTTGGACGATTGACCCGGCAATCCGAAACCCCTTGTGCCCGCGAACCAGCGGGGAAGGGTTACCGGATTGCCAGTGTGGGTTACAGTCGGGGGAATTTGAGAGAGAGAAAGAAAATCTGCAAGATCTGAGACAATGCGGCTAACACGCGGACCTTTTCCTTGCAGATCGCTCAAGAGCAAGACGTCTCGCAAGCACACCAGCGAGTACAACAAGGCGCGCGCTCGCTACCCCTCGCCCGAGTACTAGAAATCCACCAGTTGGGTTTCTGGTGTTCTACCGCGACGGCTGAGATCCGCGATTAGAGATGCCTACGAAACTCTCAGCCGCGCGACATCGCCGACGTTGAAAAACGGGCAACCAGCGAGTGTCCTTCAGCCTTACGAAACTACTTTCTTCTAGCGTGTCATTTTCAACTACTACCAAAAAAGTTCCAAGCCCGCCGTCCACACCACCATACACACCACCACAAAACGCACGACATCCATCCACACGGCACACATCCCTGCCGACGGCGGCGGCGCTGCAGGAACAGCAGAGAAGCGAGATACCAGGTTTCCGGAGATTTGCTTTGCATTTCGTAGTGTTTGATGAGCGCACGCCTCCCTCCATCTTCCGTTTGTTTACGGTTTTTTTTTTCTTGGGTACATATTGGGCTGCGCAAGGGAGGGGAATATGGAGACAGGGGCCCTAGGCGAACCTGACAGCCGGGACGGGTTGACGCGCAGCGGCACGGCGCGGGGCGAGCATGGGTGGGCGGCCGCCTAGCCCGCCCATCTCACGCTGCTTTTGCGACGACCTCTGGCGGCGGCGGCGGCGGCAAGCTGAGAGCAGGAGTGTGTGGGTTGACGGGGAGATTCCCACGCAACCGGGAAGACCTCCACACGCATGCATCGCCTCCCCCAGATTTGGCGCCGCCCCTGGCTGACGCATGGCTGTGGGGTTCCGCCGTCCTCCTCTGAACCTTGCTCGGGGGGAGGTTTGTTGCACGAGACGATTATGAGACATGATTGGACGAATGGGAAATGATTTGGGGCTGTTTCTTGTAGTTAAAAAAGTACACACACGCCCTCCCTACTGGGGGGGTGACCAAGGCCGGCCGGGGCAAGCGCCCAGGGGGGCTGTAGTAAGTCCTTTTCAGGGTCCTCCTCCAAGAGACCAACAGACGGGGTTTCGGTGGAGACGGCAAGACCAGACGAGGAGGTACAAAATTGTGGCATTTCTGTAGGAGGCGCTTGTCCTTTTCGGGGCGGTGGGATATTGCTCTTTCGGGAAGGGGGACGACAGGGACGAGGTGATGGTTCACCTAGGCCGGCGGGGATAGCGTTCCTCTGACCCCCCTGGTGGTTCCGTAGCGACGGCGACGACAGCGTTCCCACCCCATAGTTCGTAGACATATATCGTAAGCCCTTCCTCTTCGGTCGTGGTGGTCCCTTAGCCGGGGGCTGCTGTCCACGATGTCCACCGTAAAGCCACCGTTGTACTCCGTAGGTGTATGTCCTGCCACCGTAACGGCCACCCTGGGTCGTGGCCAAGCCTGGGGGGGTCCTCCGAAGCCGAGTAATGTATCTTGTGATGAGCCGCAGTGGCTTGCCGTGACCCAGCCCAGCCAGTGGTATCACGTGATATCGCGAAAGTGTCGGTGAGTAGTATGTCGTCGGTATGCCGGAGGTGGACGGGGGCTGCTGAATGGACGGTGTCCCGTAACATTGGGTGTATGGATAGTTGTTTCTCATCCACATGCTTCCAGTCCGGACCGAACCCCCCTTTGCATTCATCATCGGCAATCCTCCAATAACACCCCTCAAGCCGTCTGAGCCGGGCCCCTGGACACCCAAGTCCCCCTCGACTGGACGCCAGCCTTCCTCTCGAGCCTCTCCCACGGATTCTCGTTGGATGCGTGGTCGTAGTACCCCTCCCACCAGGGCTTCCCGTCGTTCCGCGGCTGCTGTTGGTAGCCTTGCCGACCACGGGGCTGGTGTCCGGCAGCCTGCCCGGGCCGCTCCCTCGTCGGCATGGCCGTCGGGGCGGCGCCCAACTCGTTGCCCCACGTGGCGTCGGGGCGCGTGGGCAGCGCCGACGAGGGCGGAAGGGAGGTGCCTTGCGCTTGCGGGGCGGGGGTCCCTTCTGGCGGGCCGGTGCCGCCGCTGGTGGATAGCTCGTCAATGAGGCTCTGCGCGTGGGCGAGGGCCGGCGCGACGGTCGGGTCGGAGAAGATTCTCGCGCCGCCTTCTTCGGGGTCCTGGTCATCTTGCTTATCTTCCGTAGGGACAACCGCAGCGACATCGTCGTCGTCGAGGGCTATCTCGTCGGTGTTGGCTGGCGGCGCGGTGGGTGCCTCGTTTGTCGGGGCGCGCGGTGTGCGAGCTGCAAGGGCGGTCTGGTTCGCGCCCGTCGCGGCGGCGACGGGGGCGCGGGCGGAGGGTTGGCCACCGGAGGCGGAGGAGACGGCGTCGGTGCGGTGGTTGTATTTGCGCTTCTTGGCGGCGGGCTGGGTGCCGAAGGAGGCGAAGCCCATGAAGGCGGCCATTTCGGGGTCGATTTCCGCGGCGAGGTCTTGGTCGTCCATTGTGGCGGTGAGCGGTCGGTCGGTCACTAGGCGGTCGTTGGTATATAGAGCGGAAGGGGCAGAGGAGGGAGAGTGCGCGACGCGATGACGTTGAGAATGAGGTTTCGAAGTTGGGGGTAAGGTAGAAAAAAAAAAGAAAACGACGAGCTCCGGATGTGGGGAGGGAATGGGAAAGGAGAAAAAGAGCTTTGGGCACGGGAAGATCCGTGATGCGCGAAAAGGTCGAATTAAGACCCCTGCTCGGCACTAGGGCGGTTGCTTTCAGCCTCGTGGGGGACCAGGGGGGACACAGCTATTGAATCGGGGTCCAAAGGGTTATGACTTTGAGATGGACAGGACGACCAAAGTAAAGGAGGATCCGGGTATTGGCGGCGGTCGGCCGGCCTATAAGATTCAATTGTTCATCGCGAATCAGAACCCCGACACGCGAGAACCATAGTTGGGGGATTTGGAGAGAGTAAGGTTCTGAGACTCAAAGGGGGAAACGTTCGAGTCTCAGTGGCCGGGCCGCTGACATCATTTGAAACACAAAGACCCCTGGCGCGGATCCCGGAGCTTGGGGCTATGGTTTGCGCTCGTCTTCCGACTTCATGCCATTTTCTTTACGCTGGCCTCTCCTTCTATACTCCGCATATTACAACCAGCTTCTGCTCAATTCGCTTCCGATAAGCTTTTCCAACTGATTGGCTACCATTGTGCTGCAGATCACCTGTCAATTGCTGTCAAACTCGCGTCAGCAGGGCTCCACACAAGCTCTCCATTGAGCAATCTCATCCCCCCCACGACATCCACCACCCTCGCAGCGCAAAAAGCCCATCATGGCCTCCCCTCCAACGACCGTGGCCCTCCGGTCCCCCTCCAAATACACACCCACCCCGCCGTCCACCTTCTCCGCGCCGCCCGTCGATTGGCTCCTCCGCACGTGGTCCGTCACGCACTCGACGCTCGCCATGTGGCGCGACGCCCGCAACGTGCGCATCTCCTACGCCGCGCTCGACCCGAAGCCCGACGGCACGGCGCGCGTCGACGACCTTGTCGAGTACGAGTCCAACAAGACCACCTCGGGGGGCGTCAAGTCCGTCAAGGGCGTCGACACCGCCTCCAAGGCCGGGGACACCTCGGCGTGGGACTGGAGGGGCAAGGGGTGGCTGTTCTTTGTGAGCAGCCACTGGGAGGTCCTCGGGTGGGGGGAGCGGGAGATTGCCGGCGGGGAGCGGGAGCGGTGGGTCGTTACGTGGTTTGCGCCGACGGTGTTCACCAAGGAGGGCGTCGACGTGTACTGTGACCGCAAGGAGGGGCTGAGCGAGGAGGGGTACAAGGAGGTGCTGGAGGGCTTGAAGGGGCTGGAGGCGAAGGACGTGGTGCAGATGGTTGAGAAGGATATGCAGCCGGTTGAGATTTCTCTGCCGTGGAAGGAGACTTGAAGGGATGTTAGGTTGTCAGTGGTCGTGACGGGTTGGGGAGAAGGGAGTTCGTGCATCGGAATAACCGTCTAGTCAGAGTGCGGACAATAATATGATAATGGGGATCTTTTTGTTTATCAGTCGTATCACTTGGCGTTGGTATGCTGCAAAATGGCTATTTAGAGGTAATCTGGTGGCTCTGGTGTTCAGTATATCATTCTCTTGGTCTACCTTCATACAATATGTGAGGTCGGATGGTCGTTCCTATACCGCTATAATTTTACCGTCTGGCTATGGCGTCTTCTCTTGACCTTGGCTGTAATGAAACCGATGTCCCCCTTTGAGTCTTGCTTTTAGTACAGACTATTGTCGATACGAAGAACTTTCTGAGAATGTCTCGATACCATGGGAAAGACGTGTCAACGAGACCCGACGACTAATTCCATTCCCACCTCACTTCATATTCATTCAGACCTCGTCATCCTCCTTCCTCCTTATGTCCCTATACAGGAAATACTTATCGTCACCTCACCTCGCATCCTCCAACTCCCTCATGTCAGCCGCCATGGTCTCAAGTGTAAAAACCAGTGATGAACTCTTTAACCTCCATCATATAGAGTTAGACCAGATGAACAACGGACCGAAATCGTCTTTTGAGATACCCCATCAGCCCAATGGTCCCCAGAGCATCTGGATGTCAGCGCTCGCACCGCAGAATCGTTCTGTACATGGCCTTGGCCTTGCGGTATCGGCGTGTCTGGACGGTCGCGGTTCTAGCCCCAGCTAGTACTACTGACCATGAGGGATCGATGTCAAGGACGATGTACGGAAGGAAGACTTCTTGTGCCTTGTCTGGCGACGTAAGATTGATGTAACTGAAGCCGGCCGAGCTCAATTTTGTAAGTGGGTCATTGCGATAGATTCCGTGCACGGCACTGATGCAACTGGATGCTGAAAGAGTTCAGACACGAACGGAACACAGGAATGGACTGTCGAGACAGATATTCAATTTCAACTTCTTCATTTACCATTACCATTATCTCCCTCGGGTAAATAGTCAACGAATGAACGGGGTATACTACAAAACCCGTCTAGCCTGGCCATGCCGATCTCGGGTATCGTCTCCTGAACAGGCTCATGTCCTTCCTTCTCCATCCAATAGTCCACCCCCATGTGATACAAGTACATGTTCTGTTTTTGTGTTTTGGTGGTGTTTCGAGTCGTCGCAAAGGGGTATTTGAAAAATCAGTCATGCCGAGCATCGTAAAGCGCAAAGGGGGTATGGCGTCGCAGCAAAAAAAAGAATCATCGTGAAGTGGTGACAGCCGCAAAGGGGCCGGCTCTAGTGGGACCAAGCTGTTCCTCCCACGACGACCTCAAGTCAGCACTCGGTGCGAACTCAAATGTTTTCGATGACACGAGAGTTGATGGCTTGCTGGAAGCCGGAGTCCTGACCTCCAAAGTCGTTGAAGTCCGCCGTGCCGTTGTTGGCGCCGGCCGACGACTCGCCCGTCTGGTTGCCGCTGAGCGACTGCTGAATGTTGGGCATGGTCTGGCCGGGGCCCGGCAGGAAGATGACCTTGCTGTTGGACGACTTGGCCATAGCCTGCATCGCCTCGAGGTAGCGGATCTGCATGGCGGGGGCAGACGACAGGATGTCGGCGGCCTGGCGCATGAGCTTGGCGGATTCGACCTGGGACTCGTTAGATGTGCGCTCTCAGTCAAGAGGGGAATAGAGACATACCTCGGCCTTGGCGGCGATGATCTTGCTCTCACCGATACGCTTGCTCTGAGCGGCCATGGAGAGCGACTCCTGCAACTCCTGGCTGAAGATAATGTCCTTGATGAGCATGCTCTCGACCTGGACACCCCACCCGGCGGCGACGTCCTCAATGATCTCGCCGATGGACTGAGCAATTTCCTCTCTGCGCTCAATGACATCCTGGAGGATGCGAGCACCAACGACGTGGCGGAGAGTCGTCTGGGTTCGCTCCATGAGAGCCTGGCGCACGTTGGAGATTCCGAAGGCGGCGCGATGGGGCGCGACGATGTGGTAGTAGATGACCGAGGTGAGGTGGAGGGTAACGTTGTCCTTGGTCATGCAGGTCTGCTGGGGAACCTCTGCCATCTGGATCTTGACGTCGACTTGAATGAGCTTCTCACTAAGAGGGTTGACCTTGACCAGGCCGGGGTCAACGGCCTTGTAGAACTTGCCGAACTTGGTGACGAGGCCGACGTTACCCTGGTTCACGTTCTTGTAGGGGTTCGGGCAGACGATGCAGCAGGGAATTGCTCCCATGGTACCAATGCAGGCGCCAAAGGTGTTGACTGGAGGCACAATGTCAGCATGTTGCGATGGGACGTGGACGGCAATGGCGACGAGACGTACTCATGGTTCCGTACCAGCCCTTGGGGTTGGCGTCTTCTTCGACGACTTTGGCGTAGCTGCGCTGGAGATCCTCCTTGGTGGGGGGCTTGACAGTCATCTCTCCGTGAGGCTTGAAGCCGCCCTGGCCCAAGCCACCACCGTTGGTCGTGGTCTCGGTGCGCTGGTCGTGCTCATCGTAATCGGGGGCACGACTCTTGCCGGTTGAGGAACCCTCGTGGTGCGGGGCGGTGGCAGCGCTCATTGTGGGCGAATGCGATCGGGTAGAGGTGTTGTGTAGTAGGTGTCGAGCCGAGTTGGAGGAGGAAGCTTGGTGCGTGTGGTTATCTTGATGATCAGAAGCTTCGTAGATGGAGTCTGAGTGGTGAACCATGTGTACGGACGGTGACGGAGGGAATGGGGAGATGAGGTTCTTAAGTAGACTAATTGTGGTCGTGGTACTTTGGGACGGTACAGAGTCAGGGTAGCAGTAGGGGAAGCCGAGAGGTGTCGAGGGTGGAAACACGACAAGCCCAAGCGACGGAATCTAAAGACTGAGGATCATAGACACGGGTCTAAGAACCGGGGTCGAATCACAGGGCGGGGCTGTGGTTGCCCAGAAGTTCTGCGTTCTCTGCGTTGTTGGGACCGGCCACCTTGGGGGTGTGGAGAGAGGGGGAAGGAAGCTCTCCCAAGCTTTGTGCCATTCAGTACTGTACCTAATCCCTCCTCCAAGCAGTACGTACCCGGGGGTTATTGTACATAGGTACAGTACCCTGATGTGCTTCGGGTCTTCGACTCATCCTTTCTGGTGGTGGCACTGAGCATCCATCATGAGTAATGATAGGCCCGGCAGGCACACAAGCCGCGCGAGGAAGCTACAGAAGCCGAAGGGTGGAGCAAGGGTCGCGTGTAGTGCAGTGCAGTGCAGTCGAGGAAGGAGCTCTCGGTCATGGATGCGATGTCTGTGGCATTTCGACAGGGATGCAGGCACCAGCGAAGCAGTGGGTGGGCCATGCGGGGGCAAATGTGCCCGGCGATGGAGCACAGTTCAGTACCTACCTACACTACCACGACTACTCTGTAGCTACACTACCTAGAGCACAGCCCCCAAATCTCCAAAAACCTCATGGCCCGTGCTCGTTTAGTCTTTCAACGCGCTCGCCCTCGGTGAACTGATCTGGTGGCATGGGCTCTCTTTTCGCTGTCTTTTTCGTCTGCAAGCAGCGCAAGGCTGCAAGGTAAGACTGCAATGTAATCATGCCGCTGACTGTCTGGTTTTGGTCGTCTTGGCATCTCTCATGTTGGCATGTCCCGTCCGCGTGGTGGTGGCCGGGCCTCAAAAAGCGCCAAAGGTGACGATGCCAACGGACGACGCGACGGCTTGATTCTCCATGCCACCTCCAATCGCGAACCTGCCGTTCTGCCGTCTTACATGGTCTGCCCCTCCCTCCCCCAGGATTTCTTTTCCTCGCTTTGCCCGACCAACCAGCGCGAATTTCGAAACCATGCACTCTCGCATCTAAACTACGTGTACGAGATACGGTCGTCGTGTGGCATTCGAGCTCTTTCCACGAGGCGACGACGTACTGCTGCTCAGCCCTGCTCATTCCTCGCTGCCTAGACAACCGCAACCAAATCCGCGACCTGAACCCCAACCGGTCCTCGGTGGCAGAGCCGGTGGCGTCCCAATTTCGCCCATTCCATCCACCATCTTTCAATCAGCCTTGGCTACTACCAATGTACCTACTGCACGCCAGTCTCTGCCCGTGCACGGGGTGAGCGTGACTGGTCAGGGGTGGCTCAGGGCCCGTTGGGACTTTTTGTCCCTTCATCCAGGCTTCCCCCAAGCTCCCATCCCAACGCGCCGTCTGAACTCGACAAGTCAAGTCTGGGGTGTCGCGCGATGGGCTGGCTGCTAAGGGGCAATGGCTGCAACCATCCAACAAGAATCTCCTCACGAACGGGAATCGTTTCACAAAACATTCATCTCTGTGTCATGATATTCAGGACCCTGTCCCTCCCAAGCACGCCAACCGCCAATCACCACACTTGCGCGTGCCGAGTTCCCGCCAAGGGGTGCACCGCAGAGTGGCATGATATCATGGAACTCCAGCGCCGAGAATGCTACACAATACAGCGGGTCCGATTGACATTCGGTCGAGCATCGCTTTCAGTCAGTCGGTCATCAGACACCAAGAGCGCCAACCCGAACCAACACGGCTCCTGCTGCCGGTACATGAGCGACTTCAAAGGAATGGCCTAACGGCAGAGCCTCTCCAAGCCCGAGGAATCTCGTAGTACCACTAGGGATGACTTCATAGCCTTCGCTTCCTGCGATGCGCCTCCGACCGGTGCCGCTTCGCTCCTTCGGAGCCCCAACGACAAAGCTGCGTGACTGGTCGACCAGCTCCCTTTCTCCACTCGAGCTACCCTCGCCGCCCAGCTTCTGGGCAGGACGCCATTGATGATTGTCGGCCACCAGCCTCCGGATCGGCCAATCCGCGCCGACCGCGTCGTCTCCACCCTTTCCGTATGTGGCCATAGCGTCTCACCGGCACTCGTGACCGAGCACTGCCCGATCATTATTTCGCCCGGCGGCTTGGGGCGGGACGCTCTGCAGTCGTCTGCACGCCTGCCCATCAACATGTCGAAACCAACAGTAAGCCCTTGACATCATATCCGGGCGGTCGTTGGTCCCGGCCGATCGCCGGTTCCCCGACAACTATCTGCGCCCGACGCTCACCGAATCCAGCATCCGGAGAAGCCCGTCCCCACGTCTGCTAGCATCTCCATCATAATGGTTCCGCAGGCTCCACAGGGCTTAAGTGGTTGACTGATTCCAATATTGCTGTAATCGTACACCGTCTTCTTCGTTTTTCACTGTGGACAAGTCACCGCCTACCTTTGAACAATGTCGAGCAGACAAGCAGACTCAGACTTGGTGTAGAACTAGGTGTCGCTGTTGGCTCTCGTTCACGCAAGCACGCGAACAGGGCTTCCCCAAGTTCGTAGTGAAACAAATCATTGCTGCTTTGGTTGACCAAACTCCGAGACATTCTCGAGTCGGACTTCTAAGTCGCACATCATAGCATCCGATTTCCTAATGGAGCTAAGCCCCCAGGATCCGCAGTCGAATCCTTCCAGAAGCCTTCCTATTTCGCCACCCCTGCGCCGCTACGCTTGCACGCAAGTTGGCGTCTTACCATGATATCATCACCTGACACCTGTTAAGCGGCTCACTGGCTTCTTGTCGTCCTGTAACGGCTCTTCTCAATGGTTCGTAGATCGCTGTCCGACGGTCCCCTTGCGTGGCTATACTGTGGATCTACGGATACTAGGATCACGATAACTCCTCAGGACACGGGCGGATAGTGGATCTGGCTAGCGTGCTAAGCCACGACCAAGGTGTCCAAGAAGCACAAGCATCTCAAATTGAATTCTTCTAGAAGGAAAGATCATGCGGGCAAAAGAGTGAAGGCAAAAGGATCCCTGGGGTTGCAGCTTGGTCGCTCGTTCAACCTTGCGCCGCACTCTTCTATCTGACAACCCTACCACAACGCCGATGCTTACTACACAAAAAGGAATACACAAACTCCACAAGGCAGACTTGAAGGTTATCGCCCTCTGGTCCCCTTCATGCCCTCAAAGTCTTCGACAATGGCCGCATGGTCCATCTTCCAGCCCGGGCTCATCGAGACCAACCAATCCCCCTCGAGCAGCCTCTCATCCTCGATGCTCCGCCGCATATCCGCGTTCGAGGCGGCCCAAATACTCCGGTATATCCCCTGGGCCGGATAGCTCACGAGCCCGAAAGTGGCCGCCGTGCTCTTGGTCACCAAGCTCACCACGCCCTTCCCCAGACCCTTGGCGGCACCGACCGCGCCTTGCTCCTTCTTGCCAGTGTAAGTGTGGACAAAGATGTCTGTGAGACCGCCCTTCATGTCGTGGCAAAACGTCTTCCCCGCCACGGAGACGCCGCTGCGGAAACCCTCGATAGTGTCGTGCTTCTGCACCTGGTCGCCGTACAGGTTCGGCACCGCCCGCAAGCCCTCGGTCATGGCGAGGGGTATATCCACGAACAGGCCCTTGGTCGCGTTGCCGGCGAGCTTCCCGACGCCGTTGGCCGCCGCCACCGCCATAGCCCCCGTCCTTCCCGAAGACTCTTCACTGCCCCTGGATGGCGGCGGACGGGTCCCGGTAGAGTGCTCCGCGCTGTCCGAGACCCCAACACCGGGGAGGGGAAGCATCGCGAAGGCGGGGGCTTGGCTGTGTCTCCGCGTCTTTTCGACCTGCTCCTCGAGGTTTTCGGCGGACTCGCCGGTGCGTTTGTACTCCTCAAACGGCTTGACGATGATGTCGGCGGTCGCGCCGGCCATTTTGACAATTGTCGACAGGGATGCTGCCGATATCGCCGTCAGGGGGTCCCATCTCTGGTTCTCTATGTTTGTTGGCTTTGGCCGGTATCTGCGGTGACGTTTTAGCATCCATGGCCTGCAGCGGGACGTTGAATCAGCACCCACGATTTGAGTTGTTTCCGTTCCACTTTCCCGTTCTTCACCAAGATGGACGCAACAGGCTTGCACATCTTGACCTGCTTCTTACCCCTCCCATAGGCCAGAGACGCCGGCTGATCGGAGAAGAAGTCGCAGGCCATCTTGTCCTTTGGCAGGTTGGCGTGGAAGGCGTCGACAGCCGCTTGGACGCCGTTTTCTCTCTGCATGGAGTCGGCGAGCTTTCTTGCCGCCATAACGGCCTCCGGCGAGAGACAGAATTGTATGGCGTGGATGAGCTTCTGTGAAGTCAGGGAGCGGTACGGGATAGGATCTGGCCCGGCACCTGCTTCCGCGACGACGGCGCCCCAGAACGGTTGGCTGCGAACAGACGATTAGTAAGTTTGAGCGCCATGTCAAGTCCACAGGGTCTTCATACTCTCCAAAGAAGGGAACTATAGTCGTGGGCTTTCCATATCGCAATCCGCAGGCCGTCGTACCAGCGCCGCCATGGTGAATCACCGCGGCAACTTGCTGGAACAGCCATTCGTGCGGGCAGTCTCCTACATAAAAGACGTTTTGTGATTCCTCGCCCGTCAAGTTACTCCATCCTCTTGATATAATGGCCCTGACGCCTGTTGCCTTGATGGCACTAAGGACCATTGTCATCAGTCCCTCGATCCCGCCTACGACGATGCTGCCGAAGCCAATGTATATAGGTGGTGGGCCGGCTCGGAGAAAGGCTTTCAAGTCAGGGGCTGGTGTGTATGGCGCCGGATCGCGGAAGAAAAAGCCGCTGATGTCTACGGTTGATGGTAAGCGAAGCTTTTGGGAAACAGGCAGTTCAGGGACAGAGCATACCGATGTGCGGACCCCAGTCGCTGGGCTTCGGTACGAGAGACGGTGACCAGCAATATGTAAATGGGACCTGGAGGCTCTCAAGAATGCGGTGGCCCTCGGTTGACGGGACTGGTTCTAACCCCAACGACTCAACTCTCCACGCATTGACGAGGTCTCCCAAACTGTGACTTCAATCAGCAACAATCAAGGCACCATGCTAAAGGCAACTGCCCATCACTTACCCTTGCCACGTCAAAAACTCTACCGCCGCATACGACGCGTGATTCGTGCTCTTCTTATCCTCCTTGGAGAACTTGATATTCGCCAACGGGTGCGGGAACGCCTTGGTGCTCGACCACGGCATCGTGAACATGAGATGCACGGGAATCCCCAACGCCTGCGCGCAGTGCACGTGGGCGAAGCTCGGCGGGTTCGCGATGATGGCGTCGGCGACGAAGGGGACGTTGGACGCCGGGTCTGGGCGCACGCAGGAGCGCCAGAAGCCGTCGAGCATCTCGACGTACATGTCGCGCTTGCGCTGGATGATGCCGGCGCGGATCTGCGACATCTTGGGGATCAGGGAGGGCGACTCGACCATGTAGGCCATGAGGTCGGCCGGATCGCCTCCGACGGGGAAGAATTCGAGCTTGTTGCCCGAGGTGGAGGATTTGTTGGAGTCGAGCACAAAGGAGGAAAACTGGGGGTGCGTCGCGATTCGTACGCGGTGGCCTGCTTTCTGGAGGGCGGCGGCGAGGGCGAGGAAGGGCTGGACGTCGCCGCGGGAGCCGACAACTTGGATTACGATGTTGAGGGGCATCGGCCATTGCCGCTGGGGTGTGTATCGTGGTGTGTATTCGGGTGGTGTCTGGTCCTCGGGCTGGGCTGAGCTGGAGCCTTGGTCTACGATTCGGAGAGTGAGCTTGCAGAACGTTTGTTCTCTAGGAGACATTGGATGCTTACCTTCGAGGTAGAGGTCTTCGACTCCGAATGCCTCAGCCTTTGACGCCCGGGAAGCTTTTTTCGTGTCTATATTCTCGTCTTCCATGATGTCTCTCACGTGCTAGAAGCCTTCTGGGAATGTTTAGGGTGGTTAGAATGAGGACGAAGTCGGGGACGGGGGACAGGGCTGTACCCGCATACTTAAGCATAGCTTGCCGCACAGCCTACCGGGGCTGGCCGCGTCAGACTGCCGGCTACTCCTGGTTAAGCCTGTGGAGCCGTATTTCTCAGCTAACAAGTGCCACAGATACGAGATCTGCGACTTGAGTTGACTTTCTACGTAATTCGGGGTGGCCGCGAAGCAAGCTGAGACGTTCCCTGTCGTCCTGAGCATTACAGAGGGGGCAGGCCTCTTGTGTAGACGCGTTTCCTCATCTCAACAAAGGTATTATTTGAAAAATGCTACTATCAAACCAGGGCTATCTGAACGGCCTGATAATAGTTCTAGCAGGATCTGAAGTTGCCCCTATTCGCAGTTTTGTGATCATTCCAAGCACTATACCCCTTTGCGTTCTGCCTGCTTTCTCAACGCCCATGCCATTAACCTTTATTTTAAAGAACAAGTTTCTACCGGGGAAAAAAACAGGGTCTAGACGTTCTGTTGCTGTCTATCAGGAAGCTCCAAGTCAACCTTATCCTCTTCTTGCTTCGTCGTCCTCGTCGTCCGTCTTGAAGCGCAGCAATACGCACACCCGTGGACAGCGCTAAGGAGCCAAAGGATCATGCTGACACCCGCAATCCACGCTCCTGCTGCGAGTCTTGTTCTCAAACCTCCAGTCACATTATCGCCGTCTTCCCCGCCCACAATAAGAGCTGAGGATACGCCGCAGAGCGCCGCCCAGAGCACGGCGAGGCAGAAGTCCCAGACAGACCAGGCGGCGTGGGTTACGGTCGCGAAGACGTGGTAGGCGCATGTTAGCGCTGAAATTACGGCAGGTACGAGGGCGAAGATCCAGTTTGTCTTTTTGAGGTTTGTTTTCGAAGAGTCCCAGGAAGCAAGGGAGGCGGCGTAGAGACCGATTGTGACGATGGCGAAGACGAATTGGAAGATCCGGACGGCGGCACGGACTGCGAGGCCAAATGGGCCGGAGAGTTGCCAGTAGTCTCTCATGTCGTGTATTTGCGATAGATGTGGTGTTGCACAAAGAGAAGAGGAAGCCCAATGGTTGGACACTTGTTGTGGAGGAAGAGAGAAGTCGGATTGGGTGGTAAGATGGACTGGGAGGAGAGAAAAGGGGGGAGGGAAGAAAGAGGGACAAATCCCAGTATTTCTTCCAGAAACGCACCCATCAAAGTATTTGTCCGACCCACGAATGGTTTGATCCCCGTAAATGAAAGAAGGTTGAGAAAATCTCGACGTCGCTCAACCCCGTCTGAGGTGCGTGTAAGTCGTCGGTGGGGGTGGCCGTCCCCTGAATCGCGGCCGGCCCACCAATCAGCGAATTTGCGTATTCTAAACGAAAAATGCGCTCGTTTTCGATACGGCGTTTTGGGACGCAAAGTCCGCCGCCGCCGCCCCATTCCCCCCGCCACTAGATGCATTCTACCAAACAGGATCGGCAATGCCCTTTCGTAATCCTTGATTCGCAACTGGGATTAACGACAAACGCCGGATCGGATGGATCCGCCGTGGGTGCTGAGCCGTTGAGATCACGGCTCACAACTGCCGGGTTATAGTCGCACTAGGCATTGTGGAAACAGTAGCCAAGCATGGTCTGTTCTTCTGCATCTTTACCTCTCCGAGACCTTTCCGAGGCACTTCGTCACCATTGCCACAAAGGGCGCCAGTCTTCAAGACGCGTTTTCCTATGCACAGCACCAAAGAGCCATGTTCGTTATGGACCGGGGCTCGGGAGATCCTCGCGGCTTCGCCGGCGTCGGCATAGCCTCGTGGAACCTGCCCTCTGTAGCGTCAAGCTGTGGATGCAGATGATTTCGGAAGCATCGTTGAGGCTCTGCGCCAAGACGACAATAGGATGGCTTCGTTAAAAATACGAAAAAGGAGACCCGCCGAACCGACTGTCTTGCTATAAAGGAGGCTCGTGGAAGCGGTTTCATAGCTTTCAACAACATCTTTCTCACAATCACTCAAGAACTCATTCTTTAACATCATGGCAATCAAAGCCACCGTTTCGTTCTTTGCCCTCCTGAGCGCCCTAGGCGTTTCTGCGCAGCAGACCTGCAAACTTACACCCTTTGATGCCGCCTGGCCATCCGAAGCGGACTGGTCTGCACTGAATACCACTCTCGGCGGCTCTCTCCTCGAAACTCGGCCCGCCGCCTCCTCTTGCTACCCTGGAAACCCTTTCCACTCTTCGCAAGCATGCGACGACGTCAAGAAGGAATGGGGGTACTCGTACTACCACGCCTTGCTGCCCGAGTCCATCGACTCTCCCCTTTACGCCAATAACTCGTGCCTGCCACCGGGTGCTCCTGGATACTCCCCCACGAAGGGTTGCGAGCTTGGCGGATCGCCAATGTACATCGTCAACGCAACGTCCGAGGACCAAATTGCTACTGCGATGCGATGGGCTAGCGAGCGGAACATCCGTATCGTGATCAAGGGAACTGGACATGACCTCAACGGCCGGTAAGGATGCCCCAAAGAGGCTGCCAAGAAGGCGATCAACTGACAACAGACCAGGTCTTCCGGTGCCTACTCGTTGTCAATCTGGACGCACAACTTCCAGAAACTTGAATACAACGCCGAGTGGAGATCTCCCAGCGACAACAGAACCGAGGCGGCTCTCACCGTGGGCAGCGGCAACAACTGGGGTTCTGCCTCCCGGGGCGCCGCACAGTTTGGTAGAGTCGTCGTTGGTGGCACGGACGAGTCGGTCGGAGTCGGCGGACATATCCAAGGTGGCGGTCACGGCCCTCTCTCGAGCACCTTTGGCCTGGCAGCAGATCATGTCCTACAGGCCCGCGTAGTGACAACCGACGGTCAGATTCTGGTTGCCAACGAGGTGCAGAACAAAGATCTCCTCTGGGCTATACGTGGCGGAGGAGCCGGCCAGTACGGTGTCGTGACCGAGTATGTCATCAAGACGCATCCCAACCCCGGTAACGTTGTCTCGAGTTCCATCCAGGTGTCAACGGTGGGTAATGACACCGCTTCCAAAGAGGCGGCATGGAGAGCTCTTGCGGTCCTGCTCGCTAGCGTCCCCGACCTCATGGACGCCGGCTTGACCGGTAGTGGAATGAACTCCGCGGCGGCCCCCCTGAACAGTTCTTTCGACAAGACACGCAAGGTTACGGGTTCCATCGGCTTCTTCACATACAACACTACAGAGGATAAGATGGCCTCGCTACTTCAGCCCGTCAGAGATCGCATCCTGGCCGAAGTGGGTAACAGTTCCGTCACAGTCAGCCTCACCGAGCCAAGCGTGCAGGCCGACTTCATGACTTTCTTCGAGAGTGTCAACGAGGCGCCTAGCGGTGCGGGCACAGCCGGTCTAATGACGAGCCGCCTGCTCGGCCGCAAGGAACTTTCGGACATTCCCATCCCGACCTTGGCTTCCTACCTTCAGCAGATTATGGGAACGCAGGACCCTACTGGAAACGGCCTCATGGTCATCGGTCTTCAGGGTGGGCAAGGACCTCGCAACGTCCCGGAAGTGATGCGTGGCTCCCTCAACCCCGCGTGGCGTTCGGCCTACATTCACATGATGAGCTACGGGGCCTCTACCGACAGTACCCTTTCGCCCCAGGACGGGCTCAACAGTGCAGCACAGTGGTTGGAGGAGACGAAGGAGCCCGTCTGGCGTGAGTGGGCACCGGGCTCGGGTGCGTACATGAACGAGGGCAACGCATTCAACACCATGTTCAAGGAGGACTTTTACGGAGCTCCCTACGACCGCCTGGTTGAGATCAAACGCAAGTACGACCCCACTGAGAGTCTGTATGTTTTGTCAGGTGTCGGAAGCGATGCGTGGGACTATGACCTCAACAGCGGCAGGCTATGCAAGACATCTGTCTGAAAGGTTGGAAACACGAAAAAAGGTTGCACATAGCTGTTCGTTGAATCTGTATGCGCAGCCACAGTGGGTCGCTGCCAGTATTCGTGTATTTGTAAATATTTTTCGTGTCTCTGTAATTAATATCTGTTTCTCTCGTTGAGTTCTGCTCGTCGTCCATCTCCATCTCGTTGCCGTACGTCAGAGTCTCGTTTGCGCCTATCACTCTCTGATCGATGTCTTGCTTCACCCTGATGTCGTGATTCTGCTGACTCTTTCTTGTAATCTCCGTCCCTTCGTTCATCCCGGTGCTTTCTCTCTCCGTGCCGACGGTCATCATTTGGAGGGCGCTCATCGTCTCGGCTCGATCTGTGATGACGGTCGTTGTCCTTCCTTGATCGTCGCCGCTCCTCGTCCCGATCCTTTTCGCGGGATCTGTCTCTGTCGTGCCGTTCTCCATCCCTTTTGTGTTCTCGTCTTCGTCGTTCATGTCGCTCCTTGCGCTTCTCCTCCCTACGTAGTTGCTCCAGCTCTCGCTGTCGCTCAACCTCAAATTTTTGGCGCTCCTTCTTAACCTCGCGTACCCTTGAAGCTCCCATTTTCATCATGGCAAGAGGGTCGCTCGAGACGATTCTCTCAGCATCCCTCTTCTTTCTCCCAGGGTCCTCATTGCCCCATGCATCCTTGCTCGGGGGTTCAAATTCCGATATAGCCCCGGAGGCTGCATACCAGGGACCAATCAACCCGTCCCTACCGGCAGCGTTCGAGAAGCGCATCGTGTACTGGTCTTCAAGTTCCTTTTTCTTCTTAGCAGCCTCCTTCTCGGCTTCTTCGTTCTTCAGATGCCGGCCCTGTTTGCGTTCTTCGCCAAAGAGGTCGATGTGGCCGGTGCTGTCGACGATGGGGGCAGAACTCGTCGACTTGCGCAGCGTCTCGTTGGCTCCCTGCACTACATCTGAACGCTCTTTCGCGACACGTAACTCGAACTCTGTGTCGTCTTCGCCAGCGCGCTTGCGCTTCTTCCTCTCTCTACCGACGGGCCTAGCATCACGCTCGCGAGGCTGCGTCTCGTCTTCAGGGGCCTCTGTTGGGGGCAGAGGTGGCGGCTCTTCGCCTCGTAAGATGGCTAGGCGGCGCTCGGCATCAATTTCTTGCATGCGCTGCTCCTCAGCCTCTTCCTTGGCCTTTGCAGCGGCCTCATCGCGGCGGACGCGGGCAATGTTGTCTGCATTGTAAACGTTCCAAGACTTTTTGCCTAGCAGATGGCTGCAAATCTGTCAGCATGGTCCTATTTTGTTTCAAAAATCTTATGTACTCACAGAGGCATCTTCACAACTGGTTGTCTCGACAAATGTGATGATGAACCTGATGATATTAGAGATTCACGGCCATCTCAGTTGAGTCGTCGCTCATGAAGCTCCAGGTGACATCCCAATCCGGACTAGTCAAATTTGTCCACCAATAGACGTCATTTGTAAGGCAGGCGTTCAAGAATGTCGTAGTGGGGCAGACAGCTGCGACAGCTGCGTACGCCCCGCTTTCCGTCTCGACTTCCCGTCTCTGGGCTGTCGCGCTCAGCTCATCATTGCCAAAGATACCTAATGTGCTTACACGTGTATCTTTCACGTTCTGTTGTCAACAACTCAAGATCGAGGATACATGTCGGCGCTTACGAAATATTCTGTCAAGTTTGTTCAAGTTTTATGGTTCCCTTCATAGCGACCCAACTTTACAAAGCCATACGTCTCATACTCGAAGATCGAGTCGAGCATTCTCAAACTAGCCGGAGTTGAAACAGACTGAACACGGTTACAAACCACCTTCTGGATCCACATAAGCACCGGCGTATCTTCCACACCATTCGCTGCAACAAGGGTAAGGTAAGGGTCCATCATATACGTACCTGCTTCGCCTTAAGTCGACGTTGCCTAAACAAGGTTTAGCGCTCCCCAGGCCCAGGGACTTGAGGCGAAGACGACGCCGCGCAGCCCCTCCAAGCAAGTTCCAACATCCACCTATATAACCTCCCCTCGTCATCCTCGCCGGCTTTCTCAACAACCACTCGATTCAACTACATCCCTCCCACTTTACGAACTCGTGCACGACGCAACAACTACACCGATCGCCCCTTCTCACCCCGACCGAGCGAACTTCAACATGAGCTTCCCCGAGAAGCCGCTGCCCCGGCAGCAACCGCAATCATCCAGACAGCCCGGCGTGCGGCTGAGGGTCGAGAAGATCCGGGACAAGGCCTTACAAACCCAGCTTATTTATGCTAACGTGTAAGCATCCAAGGTTCATCGTTTTTCTCTCTCACAACTAACTCCTGTATAGTGCCGGCGTCAGCTACCGAGACTTCGCCCCAAGCCGTGACGGCGCCGACATCAACATCCTCATTCGAGCCAGAGACCCTGTCCGCGGAACCGTACGAGAGAATGTCGTCCGGGCTAGGCCAACACCTGAACTTCCCGAAGGCACCATCAGTCTTTCTGACCCGCAGCGACAATGGCTCAAGATTGGAATGACGGATACCTTCGAGGGTGAGGTCTACGATGCCAGCAGGCAAGGGGCTACCCCCCTCGAAGCGATGGACCTAGAGCTGTCTTGGGCGTCGATGAAGAGAGACCCCAACTACGAGTTCACACACGAGTACTTGGCCAAGGTCTTTGAGCGCTTCTTCCAGATGCACTTCTTCGCCCCTGGCCAGCGCACCCTGCTAGACATTGAAGGCCTGAAGGTGTTTGCTACTGTCAAAACCATCACTTTCCAGGGTGGCCGCGGACCCGAAGCTGTCGTCACATCCTCGGACCCTTCTGCTCGTGGGTTCTACCACACTGCGACGCTTCTGTCCTTCTTCAAGGCTGCCGACTCTGAATTAAAGCTTCAAGTCGGTGAGCACCAGGGCAACGCCAACCCTATCATCTCGCCAGACTTCAAGTTCGAGGACATGGGTATTGGTGGTCTCCACGACGAATTCTCCACCATCTTCCGCAGAGCTTTTGCTTCCCGTGTCTTCCCCCCGCAATTGGTTGCGAAGCTAGGTATCCAGCACGTCAAGGGTATCCTGCTTTTTGGCCCTCCTGGAACCGGAAAGACGCTTATTGCCAGACAAATCGGCAAGATGCTCAACGCCCGTGAGCCCAAGATTATCAATGGCCCTGAAGTGCTCAACAAGTTCGTCGGTCAATCCGAAGAAAACATCCGAAAGATGTTCGCCGATGCTGAAAAGGAGTACAAGGAGAAGGGTGACCAGAGTGGTCTTCACATTATCATCTTTGATGAGTTGGATGCCGTTTGCAAGCAGAGAGGTTCTGGTGCTGGTGGCGGCACTGGTGTTGGTGACAGTGTTGTCAACCAGCTTCTTACCAAGCTCGATGGTGTTGACCAGCTCAACAACATCCTGCTCATCGGTATGACCAACCGAAAAGACATGATCGATGAGGCTCTCCTGCGTCCTGGTCGTTTGGAGGTGCAGCTGGAAATCAGTCTGCCCAACGAAGAAGGCCGCAAGGAGATCCTGATGATCCACACTGCCAAGATGCGGGACAACAACATTATGGACCCCAAGGTTGACCTTGCATCACTGGCAGCTCGCACCAAGAACTACTCTGGTGCTGAGATCTCTGGTGTCGTCAAGGCAGCCACTTCGTTTGCTTTCAACCGCCATACGGAAGTCGGCAACAGCGCCAAGATGAAGTCCGACGTCTCCGCAATGAAGATCACCATGGACGACTTCGAGAACGCGCTGACCGAGGTCAAGCCCGCCTACGGTGTTTCCGAGGACGAAATTTCAAACGCTCTTGGCATGGGAATTCTGCAGTTCAACGAAAACATCGCGGCCATTATCCGTACAATGATGGGCTACATTGACACAGTCAAGGAATCAGATGTGCTCACCAGGATTCCGGTCCTTCTTCATGGACCACCCGAGTCCGGAAAGACAGCTTTGGCCGCTCACACTGCCTCGTTGTCTGACTTCCCTTTCGTTAAGCTCGTCTCGCCCCAACACCTGACTGCTTTCCGGGATGAGTTTGGAAAGAAGGACTACCTCACCAAGGTTTTTACCGACGCCTACAAGTCGGAGCGAAGCATCGTGATCTTGGACAACTTCGAGCAGCTGATTGAGTGGAACCCGATTGGTCCCCGCTTTTCCAACACTGTACTCGACAGACTAATTTCCCTTATTCAGACACAACCTCCCAAGGTGAGTCCACACACTGTTTTCACGTACTTGGGCCGAGGCTAACTTACTTAGGGTCGACGTATCCTCATCATGGTTACGACTTCGGAACGCTTCGTCCTTAGCAACCTAGGAGTTCTCAAGCACTTCCGCAGACAGATTCCGGTGCCTGCCGTCTCAGACGTTCGCGAACTTGCGTCGGTCTTGAACCAGACGGGCATGTTCGGTGGAAACGACATCCAGACCGTCATCGGATCCGTACAAAATGATACCCGGTCTGATAAGATCGGTCTTGGTATCAAGACGATTCTGGAATCTATTGAGGAGTCTAAAGTTGAGGCATCTTCGCAAGGCACCGATATGTTGGAGAGTGTTGCAAACAGAATTGTGACGGCCATCTCCTCCAATGCCCTCGACGGCTAGAGACTAAGGAGCATAGCTGGCTTCAAGTTATAGATAGACGTTTAATAGAGAAGACGTCAAAGGTTACACAATATGCACACCTTACTTCTGCACAACGCCTTGGTCGGATCTCGAGCAGCAATTTGTTGCATCGTTGGCAAGTGGTGTCTTCACAAGTGGCCCAGTGCTCTAAGCCATCAGGCTTGGGTGTTTCCTTACAGCTTCGGTCTCTGGTGCAGAGGGAAACAGCATGCACTCGACAACATCCAAGATTGTGTGTCAATCTACTACTCGGTGCCGGAAACCCCAGGCAGTTCTGACGCCTATATACGCCATAATTCTTCACCGATTCCGGTGTATTCACCTATACATTGTTCGTGCCGGTACCAGGAGGGTTCAGGTAGGGTCGAATGCGTTCGTCAAATTCTTTGGCTAGATACAATAAAAACTTGGGTAGTGGGCGGCCAGCAAACAGCTCAAATGAAGAGTCCATGAGTTGACTGCAACTTTCGACTTCTACTGTGCCGCAATGCAAAGCAGTAAGTTATCAGAAATTCTGTGTGATAGTTTCAAGCTATTCCTCATGCTTCATACTGTTATTTCGTGGCCAAACCCTTTTCGGTTTTCTTTTGTATATCTTTACATACCCTAACATGGATAGTTATTCTTTCCAATGAACCTAGCTCCCGTCTGCACTGCCTGCTTCTTCACCTCCCTCCACCACTGAAGTCTCGTTCATCTTGGTCAAATCCTCTTTCCATTCCGCAAGAGCTGAAGAGGAAGACATGGTATCCGGATGGTTTGGCCCAAGCCGACGTTGCCTAAGGCTGAAGCAGTCACGCATCAACTGCATTGCGGCCTCCCACCGGCCTTGACTCTTCAAGGTGAAAGCTAGGTTATGCATACTGGTGAGCGTGTCAGGGTGCTCCTCACCAAGCACTCTCTTGCTTGCCTCCATCACCTGCACCTGTAGCTCCTCGGCCTCGTCCCATCGGCCTTGATTCCAGTATGTTGACGCCAGATTGCTTATGCTAATAAGCGTGTCAGGGTGCTCCTCGCCAAGCACTCTCTTCCTTGCCTCTATCACTTGCACCTGTAGCTCCTCGGCCTCGTCCCATTGGCCTTGATTCCAGTATGTTAACGCTAGATTGTTTATGCTGATAAGCGTGTTAGGGTGCTCCTCACCAAGCACTCTCTTTCTTGCCTCCATCACCTGCACCTCTAGCTCCTTGGCCTTGTCCCATTGGCCTTGATTCCAGTATGTTGACGCCAGATTGCTTATGCTAGTAAGTGTGTCAGGGTGCTCCTCACCAAGTACTCTCTTCCTTGCCTCTATCACCTGCACCTCTAGCTCCTCGGCCTCGTCCCATTGGCCTTGATTCCGGTATGTTGACGCCAGATTGCTTATGCTAGTAAGTGTGTCAGGGTGCTCCTCACCAAGTACTCTCTTCCTTGCCTCTATCACCTGCACGTCTAGCTCCTCGGCCTCGTCCCATCGGCCTTGATTCCAGTATGTTGACGCCAGATTGCTTATGCTAGTAAGCGTGTCAGGGTGCTCCTCACCAAGCACTCTCTTGCTCGCCTCCATCACCTGCACCTCTAGCTCCTCGGCCTCGTCCCATCGGCCTTGATTCCAGTATGTTGACGCCAGATTGCTTATGCTACTAAGCGTGTCAGGGTGCTCTTTACCAAGCACTCTCTTCCTTGCCTCTATCACCTGCACGTCTAGCTCCTCGGCCTCGTCCCATCGGCCTTGATTCCGGTATGTTGACGCCAGATTGCTTATGCTACTAAGCGTGTCAGGGTGCTCCTCACCAAGCACTCTCTTCTTTGCCTTTATCACCTGCACCTCTAGCTCCTCGGCCTCGTCCCATCGGCCTTGCTTCCGGTATGTTGACGCCAGATTGCTTATGCTAGTAAGCGTGTCAGGGTGCTCCTCACTAAGCACTCTCTTCCTTGCCTTTATCACCTGCACCTCTAGCTCCTCAGCCTCATCCCATCGGCCTTGATTCCAGTATGTTGACGCCAGATTGCTTATGCTAGTAAGTGTGTCAGGGTGCTCCTCACTAAGTACTCTCTTGCTCGCCTCTATTACCTGCACCTCTAGCTCCTCGGCCTCGTCCCATCGGCCTTGATTCCAGTATGTTGACGCCAGATTACTTATGCTACTAAGCGTGTCAGGGTGCTCTTTACCAAGCACTCTCTTCCTTGCCTCTATCACCTGCACGTCTAGCTCCTCGGCCTCGTCCCATCGGCCTTGATTCCGGTATGTTGACGCCAGATTGCTTATGCTAGTAAGCGTGTCAGGGTGCTCCTCACCAAGCACTCTCTTGCTCGCCTCCATCACCTGCACCTCTAGCTCCTTGGCCTCGTTCCATCGGCCTTGATCCCGGTATGTTGAAGCCAGCCTGGACAGACTATAGAGCGTTTTGGGATGCCCACTCCCAAGTGCTGTTGTGCGTAACCCCACCGCTTGTAGCACGTACTGCTCTGCAGCAATCCATTTCCCCTCGTAGCTAAGAAGACCCTCTATGCTTTGCAAAATAGAAGCCTTGGCCAGGCTCGCTTGTTCCGAGTATACACCATCGTGGTCCAGGACAGCTTTGGCATGCGGAAGATACTCTGAGCATATCTCCCGCGTTTCGTATTGGCCGTAAGGGTAGACAAACGATAGGACTTCCAGAGCTTGTTGGACGAAGTCAGTCAAACGATGCTCGTTTGCTAACCATTTTCGCGTCACCAACTGAATCAGACGGTGCATATCGAAGGTGCCATCTGTGGTTCTTGTGATGAAGGAAAACGAGGTAAGAATTCCTAGTGACTTGATTACTTCTGCTGTTGCATTTGTTTGCAGCCTTTCTGGTTGGCATATGTCGTAGTACTTCGCCACAAATTCTTCAGGTATAGCCTGTCGGTCGAAGAGGCTCATGAAAGAGAGAAGATTGCTAGCTGACATGTATCTCTGCTTTATTTGTTCGAATGAGACAATCCATGTAGCCGCAACGGCGTGCGGTATCTCTGAATCTCTCCCAGTTGCTTCAAACGGCTGACTCAGCTGATCCACTAAGACAGAGTCGCTCTCGTCTAGAAGCTGAATATAAGTGTTGATGGTTATGTCGTTTTCCTGAATGAACGCCGCTGCCTGCGCCAGAGCCAGTGGTAAGTGCTCGAGCCGAGACGAAAGCTTTGTGGTTTCCTCAAGATTGATGTCCTCATCCTCAAATGCAGCACAAAGTAACTGATTTGCTTCGCTATCAGTCATAGTTGTGACATCGACTGGTCGTTTTCCGCGGGTAAGCCTTAGCGTTGTCTGCTTATTCCTACTTGTGATCAGGATCGAACCGTGGTTGCACTCAGGAATATAGCGGCCCATATAGCTGGTTTCCTCTGATCTGTGGTCCAGCGCTGCGCTACCCTGCTGCGGCTGGGTCGGAAAGAAGACTTCGGTATCGTCGGCGTTGTCAAGGATCATGACCCATCGACCTCGATCCTTTTTCTCCAACCACGCTTTCACAAGTGAAAGTACATCCGCTTCGGGATTGTCGTATCCTGGTATTCCGCATTCTTGGGCGATGAAGAAATAGGCCTGGCGAAACCGCTCAGCATTGCTTGCATGGACCCAGAAGACCGACATTTCAGGGTATGTGCCCCGCAACCAATAAGCATAAGCGAGTGCGATCTGCGTTTTCCTGCGAGAGGTCAGATGATGGAAAGACTCGCTACAGCGGCACAAGTTACCCAATGCCACCAAGGCCATGAAGTGCCACTCGCGAGCGGGGCCTGGCAGCCGGTTGTTGAGGCTGCTTGTGCCCAAAGAGTTGTCTGACGTGGTCAAGTATCTCAGATCGACCGATGAAATCGACGTTTTGATTATACGGAACGAGAACTAAAACCTGTTAGCCTAGCCAGTAAGTTTGGTTTAGACACCTACACCATGTGTGGGTAGTTGTTGGTCTCTGCGCAGGAATGTAGTATTCGAGAAGTGCCTTCGTCGTCGAGGCCGCCGTTGCTGCGGCGAAATTCTGCCAGTTTTTGTTTTTGTGGCTGTCTGCATAATCGCATACTCCTTTAACAACGAGGGATGGAATCTCGTCCCATACGCCGGCCCCTTCCATCTCAAAAGCAATCAGACTGTGCTGTGCGGCAATCCTGTCGCGATCCAAGCCCGACTTCATCACAGTATCACCCGAGCCCACACCCCCGACGAATATATGAGGGTCTTCTGGTGTTAGAGCATCGTTTTCTAGATGTTCGATGTTTACGCGGCTTCTTGATACGACGCGTTCTCTGTCACACTGAAGCTTCTCACACGAGGCACTGCGTGCCGTTTCGCAAGCTTCTGAGTCGCTACAGTTGCAGTTATGAGAATCCCGATGTCTGTGGAGGTAGCCAGGTTCAAAAAGAAGGTCGTCAGTCAGCGATGGGCGCTGATACAGAGACTGCTCTCCATGTTTGGCTGCCTTCTGTCGAATCTGCATCAGCATCTGGCCGGCCTGGCGCTGAAGATCACTGCGACCCTGCCGCGTCTCAAATGTAGCAAGGAGAGAACGAATCTCTCTGCTAGGCCTGCCGAGGATTTCTTCAACATTTTCTTTCATTGCAAAGCCGTTAGGATACTGCCGCCCGAAGTCGTATTGTACCATGCTCTTGCTTATGACCACATCCCCAAGCAAAAGCTCGGTGGCTGTCCCCGGGTTGGGCACTCCACCACAAATGCCGGTCAAGATGGCCAACTTTATCCCAGAGTAGGTCGACCGCAGGTTGGCTGTTGCGCTTGCCGCGCTGACCTTTCCCATGTTGGAAAGGAGGAGGAGGACAACGCTGTGACTCCCGATTCGACCGGTCTTGTACCTGTTGTAGTCACCAGGCACATTTCCCTGTCGGTCTCTGTTCTCGTCCCAAAACTCATCGAAAGAGAGGGCAACGGCATCGTACTCGAGGGATAACGCGCAGATGATGGCAACCTGGAAGTCCTCACGGCGCCGAGACGGATAGGCCATGGTTATTTGTCGGTGGTATCGTATGAGTTATCCTCGCAACGCGGTTAAGAGTTGTTACGGCAACTCCTGTCGATGCACGTTCTCGAGAGGCCGAGACACTGATTGCTGTCTGTCAGCGCTCGATGACGAGGGTCGGAAACTGCTTCTGGTTGGATAAGGCTGCAGCTGTTGTATGATCAGGCTGGCGCTTCGTTTAAGGCCGCCGATTGGTTCGTATTGTAACCCGCCCCGTATACGTGTCTTCCCTGCTTGGCATGTCATTTTTGTATGTTGTGTTATCGGGCGGATATTCTGTATTATTCATCATGGTACGAAAGGACATGGTTGTATGTCGACTACGTTGATGGCGGCGATTGAATTGTGCGTTCAAGAAGGTCTATTGTTTCGTTTAGAACTCGTTTTTTTCTTTTGTCAAAATGCACGGCTCGGGCATGTCAATATCTAAGGCATATGAGGATAATATGTAATCGTTAGGAGGTCATCAATTATTGTCCACTGATGGGCAGTCTCGACAGTGCACATTGTTCCAGCAGTAGAGTTGTCTTCTGCTATAACCGTGACTATGCCTAACAGAAAGAGCAAACTTTGGCTCTTGAAATGTCACCAGCTCGCTCTACGGCTTTTGTTTCTATGCAGAGTACTCGATCAGTCGAAGGTCCCGCGGGTATCCTTGCTCAATCTTATGGTATTCAATAAGCGGCAAGGAATCACACAGGCCGCAATAAGTGACCCATGTACAGATTATGATCACGAACGAAGGGACGCACTTGACAGTGTTATTCCAGAACTCTTGGGCGAATGGAGATTGATTCGCAGCGGGGTACCCCTGACTGGCATTCGAGTAATTCACAAGTTGTTATGTAATCAATTTAGCTTTAGGGGGATTTGAGCCAAGCGTTGGAGGTGGGGCAGCTTGTGAGGTCACCGCACTGGAAGTACCTAACTCAAGCTTCTTGAAACCTTTGCTACACTTACTCACCTCCGCCATCTCATACCGAACCACACCACCTCGCAATGGCCGATCGAGAGCGCTCAAGGTCGCGCTCGCCTCGGCGCGATCGCGAACGAGACCGCGACAGACCAAGAAAGCAAGGAGGCTTCAGATGGAAGGACAATAGCCGCCGCGACGACCGCGACGAAAGACGGGGCCTCGAGCGAGGCTACCGCAACCGCTCTCGCTCCCCTCGCCGCAACCGCGACGGCGACCGTGATCGGGACCGCAATCGCAACAACGACAGTTACCGCCCCCGTGACTCCGGCTCCAGAGACAGCAAGCCCAGCGCCTCGACCTCGAAGGATGCCCCGAAGCCCGCCAAGAAGGAGAAGGCCGCACCTGCGCCGGCTGGTGGTGGTGAGGAGATGATCATTGTGCACGTCAACGACCGTCTGGGTACAAAGGCCGCGATCCCGTGTCTGGCGTCGGACCCGGTCAAGATGTTCAAGATCCTGGTGGCTGCGAGGGTTGGTCGGGAGCCCCACGAGATTCTACTGAAGCGACAAGGCGAACGGCCCTTCAAGGATAACCTTACACTGGAGGACTATGGTGTCAGCAACGGTGTGCAGCTGGACCTTGAGGTTGACACTGGTGACTAAGAGGCTTGGAGAGGTGGACTTGTTTTTTATCACCAAGACGAGGTCCTACTGCCGTTTTCGTTATTGAAGCATGCGAGTGTCCCATTTCCGAATCGTCAGGAAATCGCAACATCTTTACGAATTATCACTTTGGCGTTTCGGAAAGTCACGAAATCATAGGTTGAGGTTTGCAAATCAAGGATACCCCTTTTCAAAGACGATGTGGAAAACATACAAAAACAAGCCTGCACATTATCAAGAAAGGCATACGAGTCTCCTCCAAAGTCTCTTCTCAACGTGCAAGTATCAGTCGAGCGCTGTCTGGAGAAACAGTTAGATTATGCGCTACGAGAAGCCTGAACAGGCTGAGGTGCAAAAGTCACGTGGCACGTCATGTGAGCCCGCGAGCTTGCGCGATGACTCCGCTTGGACCGTCGCGGTCTGCGACGCGCCCTTGTCTTGACATTAGCCAAACCTTGATTATCTTTGACTCAATAATTACTTGGTTTACATCTTGCCTATTGACCTTCTTAACGTAACCTTCCTAAATACTTCAGCTTGTTCCCAAACTTGATCTGGCCTGGAAGTCAACCTCTCACCCGGCGATACCACCTCAGTCATCCCACACTCACAATATCACCATGTCTACAACGACCCTCGCGAAGGCGCCATCTATGACCGTGACGCGAGATATCACATCCATCTCCATCCCCGAAGTCGACGAGATGCAGACACAACTAGACCGCATCGCCCGGTCGAACCGCACCCAATACGAGAAGCGAGTCTGGACCGCATTGTGTCAAGTACCAAAGGGCCGAGTCACGACATACGGCATCATGGCCGCTCATCTAAAGTCCTCGCCACGCGCCGTCGGCAACGCGTTGCGCCGGAATCCTTTCGCACCGCAAGTCCCGTGTCACAGAGTCGTTGCCACTGGCGGGGCTTTGGGAGGCTTCAAGGGCAAGTGGCCCAAGGACGGGGAGGGCATCACTCTTGATGAGAAGAGGATGCTCCTGAGGAAAGAGGGCGTCAAGATTGACTCGAGCGGTCGGGTGTTGGGGTCGCCGTTTGTGGCTTTTGTCTGATGGCAATAAAAGTGAAGCATTGGCATTCAGTTGTTTGCGTTCGCAGTCTGTTACCCATGAAAATTGCTGCCCACCAGGGACCGAGTCATGCGCCTGGTTCTTCTGGAACGAAAGCCCACTGACGCCCAGAAAGGAATCCCTTCCCTAATCTGCGATTGCAAGATCGCGACAAGGGGGTCTTGGCAATACGGCACGGCACGGGGCAGATGTGGATCTGAGTGCTTCTCCCTTTAACCTTTTAGAAGTGGAGGCCAAGATCAACGACAATACTGCTGTGGCCGAAGAGGCGATCAGCCAGGGGAAAACTGGCTAAGATTACTATTTCTTGAGCATTGGTCGTGATCTCTCGTCGTCAAGTGTAATGATATTGATCTTGGAACGTATTTGCCGCTCGCTACTCTTTTCCTTTAGGCGACAACGGCAGCTCCGATAAGATGTGGAACTCCAAAGCCAGCCGCAGGCAATAGCGCTTCTTTCCGGAGGATATGGTGCACTACCAGAGCGACGTCTGTACCCGTGACCAAGACTTCAGTATCAAAAGGTCGGTCATTACGTGTCCGATATGCCTCAGTTTGGCGTGCAATTGAAGTCTTTATCGAATAGTGTTTGGATCGTGACATGGACCTCCATGATTGAAGGGAGGAGATGGTTGTGGAAGACGGGAAGATGGAGGCCGAGGTCTCAGCCCCCACAAGCACGGCGATTGAAGGCTTTACTATCCGTCAAGACCTCATATTAGGTTCGCGTCTGTTTGAGGGTTAATACCATCAATGCTACAACCCGCAAACTGACATATACCCTTCTGGCGTCGTATGGAATTCCGCCCCCAAGAGTGTCACGGTGTCCACTCCAGGTTACATTGACTTTATCGAACACGGCTGTGCCAAGTGAAATCTACGATTTGTCGGCGAGCAGACCCGAGGCTTAGGAACAGACTCCATTGTCCGGCAGTCGAGCATCTCCAACAAGAGCCCGACTCTGCAGGTGCCAAGACCATGTTTTGGCTTACGGTGGACTTCCACCATTAGCTTATTGATGATGATGCGGCGGGCAAGGTCATTGACATCAGCGAGGGAAACACCTCGTGTTACGATGGCGCTCTGTCAGCACAGCCGTGGGTTAGTAGGCTATTTAAACTGCAAAATCGAAGCTCCTCCGCTGTGAAGCCAGCTGTTGATGCATCCGAGTATCTCGCTGACCGATCATTACACACCTCTGGCGACATCCACAATGAAGGTCACCGCCGCGTTCGCGATCCTTTCTGCCGCCCTCGTCGCGGCGGCCCCAAGACCACAAGACGACGACCCCGCCGCCGTGTTCGGCATCTCGTTCACTTTTGAGAACGGCAGCTTCACCGACGTCTTGGACGTACCTGAGACGCTATCAGGGTACCCCCTAGGTAAGCCCATCTCAATCGGGCCTCACGACCGGACGCGCCACCCTTTTGACATTGCCTGACCCCTTTCAACAGCCAGCAATGGCATCGTGACCAACGTCTTCATCTACCCACCGGCAGGCCAGCCCGCCCGTTGCGCGTTCCTGGAGCCCGAACCCAGCAGACAGGGTCTCGGAGCCTGGACAATTGCCCGCCCGACGACCATCGCCCTCAATCCTCCGGCAGAAGTGGGATTCGTGCAGTGTAACAGAGCCTAGGGTGACTTGGCGGTACCGACAAACTCGGACCACATTGACGAAGGCGGGAGCGAACCAGGGAAAAGATAGAGAGGGAGGGAGGAGAGATAACGCAAGGGAACAGAGCCTCGGTTCCTTTCTTCCTTCCTGAATAAATCGTGCACGATAGATAAAGACAGCCCCGCCATCAGACCGTAGGTAATAAGATGTTGCGTCAGCACGTAGAGCATCCCTAGTCTCCGGTTCCCGCATCGCGCACGAGCTTCGATTTCGAGAAAAAAGAGGACCGCTCCGAAATGATCCCGGCGTAGACATCCCTTTCCGAATCCACCATTGCCTCCCGGCCCCGACGGGAGGAGGGGCCAGCACGTGTTTGCTCAAAGAAGCACATTTGCGCGCAGGCAGACAAGGCGACCACACAGGGACCCGGCTCGACTGGGGGCCAGATGCATTCTGCAACGCTCAGATGCAGCGGCGGCAAGATGCCAAGTTCGGCGCTTTCCCGAGGCTAAGAAGTTCCCTTCTCGCGACTTTGCCGTACAGAAGGTGACAGTGGTTGGTTGACTCCTTGTGCCACGCAGGGTGGTAAAGACCCGCAGTTTTCTGCAGGAGGCTGTTGGGAGGTCTTTGGGGCGAGACGGAAAAAAAAGGGCGCATATATCGCCGAGGTGTTAATGGGCGAATGGTTCGATATCGCCACACGAGAAATTCCCGACACCCCTGGCCTCTGCGTCTGTTCTTGTCCTTCGCCCCGAAGTTGAGTGACATCGTGGCCCTGGACCTACTGGCCCAACTCGGGGGACCATTGAACCTCGGAATAGGGACAGCAGGAAACGCAACGGCTAACGCTAGTGGCCGAAACTATTGAACGGCCACCACCGAGGACGGACTCGAAGACGACAGCCACCGAAAACGACCGGGAAGCGAGGGTAGGATGAGGAACGGCAGAGGCGGGAGAAGACGATGTTTGCCCGCGCACATTTGCATGCTTTTGGAATTTGAGGTATAGTTGACTCTGAACAGGTTAGTTCCCTTTTGCCCAAAAAGGGAACACGTCCTTCCACCATGGAAAAAAAAAATTGGAGGGAAAAAATGAAAGTGACAAGAAAGAAAAGGAGAATATCATAGCGGCATAGGTGTCGAGCTAAAGCATCCCCACAAACCTTAGCTTACACATGCCTTAGTCGACTTGAGCTAAACGCATTTTGGCATCAAACTTTCTTTTCGTGCCAACTCAGAAGTAGGCAATTCCTCAACTAAACCGACGGCCCAAAATAACGACGTTCTCAGCGACTCTGCGGGCAACGGGCAGCGTGCGAGGCTTGGCCGCGTGGCGTCGATCAGCGTAGGGCAGAGATCCCGCCACTTAGAACTTACGCGATAAAGACGTGCGATTTGGATAGCGTAACGTTCCGCCATGGCCGCGGTGCGTCTCCATCACCAAGGGCCATGCAATAGCGGCCGCCAGCATCAGGCCTGTGCTGCAGGAACCAGAACGAGAACCGGGACGAGCGGCGACCAGAGATGAAGAGTAGGTATGGGTACAGATCAAGGGGAACGAAATACAGGGGCTCTTGGGATTCTCTCAAACTGGCAACGGACCCAGTAGGGGAACACCGGGGGCCCGCTGCCGGGGTGAGGCACCACGAGCCAAGGGTGCATTTTCGATCGCCCACGGCGCCGCTCAAAGCAGTCACTGCTGCATCTCCTCGAATGTGCGCCCGATCCTGACTTGTCGCAAAAGCAAAAGCGACATCTTCGTACTGAGTACTATGTATGGAGATGAGGTACAGCACCTACGGCGAATCAGGTGGCGCCCAACTGCTGCTGTTCGTCCGATGCAGACGACCCCCCGGCAATTGGCAAGATTCGATGTTATGCAAAGTCAGTGCGAAGCCACACCTGTCAAACACTTTAGCTTTCCACAACCCTTCCAGAAGCCTGCCGTATCGAACGACTCTTGTTAAAACATGACGCGCATCTCATTTCCTCTCGGAGTCCTCGAGATCTAAGCCTCAGAAACCCTTACCTCCTGACGGTGCTCCAGGCCCTCACGTTAGCAGAACCTCGTGTCGATCCTCGAGGTCAAAGCTGTCAGAGCCATTGAGCAACGGCCCTCCAAAGTGCCAACGGTGGATGGCCAAATCCATCACCTGCAACCCCCGGCCCGTGGCCCGCTTCAAGGGTAGAACAAAGGTAGAGGGGGTGGCTCCGCATCCCCCTCCCCCATGCTCACCACACTATCCCGGAGCATGCTGCCCAAAAGGGGTTGATCCCAGAAACGCCTCTAGGGCCCATCGGAGGGGTTCTCGACATTGCATTCGATGAAGGGGACTGACAGCGTCTGCGCCGTCGCCAATCCTCGCTCTCCAGGCGCCGTGAGCTGCTTCCTGGCCGCATCCAGCCAGTTCTCCCCTTCAATATAAAGACTGTCCAATGGCCCCTACCGCCTCAATGAAGCTCGTCAGGAGTCTTCCCTGCAGCCCAGTCATTCTTTAATATCCCAACTCACGCTCTTCTGCAAAGGCTCTCTCATCGTTGCGCTTCCTCCCCTCCCCCCTCAGCCCTGCCAAGATGAAGACCTCCGCCGTCATCGCGACGGCGACCCTGGCCGCCGTGCCGTTCGCCGCCGCCGGACTCCTCCCCAAGCGCGCCGTGGATGCCTCGTGCCATTGCCTTCCCGGCGACGACTGCTGGCCCTCGACCTCGTCCTGGGATGCCCTCAACAGCACCGTTGGAGGCAAGCTCATCGCCACGGTGCCCATCGGCTCCGTGTGCCACGACCCCAACTACGATGAGGCCGCGTGCACGGCGCTGCAGCAGTCGTGGACTCTCCCGGAGACTCAGTAAGTGGAAGCCGGCAATTTCGTGACGAACCCGAGCAATCGTGCTGACGAGACACCAGCTTCCCCTCCTCGTCCTCCGTCATGCAGAGCTACTTTGCCAACCAGTCCTGCGACCCCTTCACGGACCGCACCACGCCCTGCCTGATTGGCAACTACGTCAGCTACGCCGTCGAGGTGACCTCAGCCCAGGACGTCGTCGAGACCATCAACTTTGCCCGGGACAACAACATCCGCTTTCTTGTCCGCAACACGGGGCACGAGTAAGCTTACCCCTCCCTCTTTCGTAGATCACCTACTTCCAAAAACACACGAGCTAACGCACCCGACCCAGCCATCTTGGCCGATCAACCGGTGCCGGAGCCCTCGCGGCCTGGACTCACAAGCTCAAGGACATCACCGTGACCGAATGGTCTGATGACCTCTGGAACGGCCCTGCCATGAAAATGGGCGCCGGTGTCCTTGGCTACGAGATTACCGAGGCCGGCAAGTCCGCCGGCCTTGTCGTCGTCGGCGGCGAGTGCCCCACTGTTGGCCCTGCCGGCGGTTACATCCAGGGAGGCGGCCACTCGGCCCTCACCACCAACTTCGGCATGGCCGCCGACCAGGCGCTCGAGTTTGAGGTCGTCACCGCCGCCGGCAAAATCGTCACGGCCTCCCGCACGGAGAACCCGGACCTCTTCTGGGCCCTCAGCGGTGGCGGCCCCGGAACCTTTGGCGTCGTCACCTCCGTCACCGTCCGCGCGTACCCGGATGCCACCATTGGCGGCGTCGGTCTGCAGACGGCGGCCTCCTACACCACGCAGGAGAAGTGGTGGCAGATGCTTGACGCCTTCCACTCCCTCCTCCCCGGCATGACCGACCAGGGCGCCATGGTCGTCTTCCTCTACAGCAGCAGCGTCTTCGCGATCAACCCGCTGACGGCCTACAACAAGACGGCCGAGGAGGCAAAGGCCATCCTCCAGCCCTTCCTCGACGTCCTCGCCGAGCTCGCCATCCCCTACTCCTCCGCCGCCACCAACTACACCAACTACCGCGACCACTACAACAAGTGGATGGGCCCCCTGCCCTACGGCCACGTCGGGGTCGAGTCCTACAACTTTGGCTCCCGCCTCATCCCGCGCTCCGTCCTGACCGACGACGCCGCCCGCGCCACCTACGTCTCCGCGATCCGCTACGGCGCCGACAACCACGGCGTCCTCTCCGCCGGTGTGGCCCTCAACGCCACGGCGCCCGCGGGCGTCGACAACGCCGTGAACCCGCACTTCCGCAACGCCGCCATCCACGTGCAGTACTCGACGGCCTGGAGCAACGCGCCCGGGGACTGGGACAAGATGCTGGCGGACCAGAAGACCATGACGGACGATGTCATCCCGCCCATCGAGGCGGCGACCCCGGGCTCGGGCAACTACGTCAACGAGGTCGACTTCAACATCGCCGACTGGAAGGAGAAGTTCTTTGGCGGCAACTACGACAAGCTGCTGACCATCAAGAAGGAGTGGGACCCGGAGGGCGTGTTTTACGCGCTCAAGACGGTCGGTAGCGACGCGTGGGAGGTCGCTGCCGATGGCAGGATGTGCCGGGCATGATTTTGATGATGATGTTGGATGGGGGAGTTTTTAGATACATTCATAATACAGACAGGGGGCACAGCGTCCTCTTTTCTCTGGTTCAAAATTCTCGTTGCCGCTTTCTGTGACACAACGATGTGACGTTTGCGACCAGACTATGAGCAGATATTGAGTAAGCAAAGGTCTCAAGATCAGACACAAGGCGACCCGTGTTCTGGCCTCGACTTCACAGCTTGCATCCATCTCCGGAGCAGGGTTCCCGCCTCACTCTCCAAGCTAGCCCCCTCCAACAAGCATGTCGACTCGGGACAGGCAACAAGCCCAGCAAGATCTGGGTACGGAGTGACAATCAACTGCACCCGTACTGGCCAGCGTTTACCCTCATCGTCACCGAGGCCGATTCCCCCCCACCCACGATTACGTGTGCCTCCCTCCTAGCCCAGGCAAGCAACGCACCCCACCTATGCTGTCTCTGTCAGACGTGAGACGCACAAGGCCCCCAACCAATCCGGACGCATCACACGGCAGTCGGCCGCTTGTAAGCAAACCGCCAAGAGCGAGAATAGTCAGCAAACGTATGGGGCTAGCCCCCTTCCACGGCCGGGCTCTACGCGGGGGGGGGAGTTCGCCCGGTGAGAAAGTCGGTATGCTTAACAGCCATCGTGATCCGCCCCCCCCGTCCGTAGCCTCGTTGTGGAACGCCGTTGCTTACATGAGGTCCGATGCCTAGCTCGAGTGGGCGGCTGCGGCGGCTCGGGGAGAGGCGGCATGCGTTGCGCTGCGAGGATAAAGAAAGGGCGAATCCTGCTGCGATTCCAGCCAATCTCGAGACTCATCGAACAGTCTCATAGTTGCAACCGGACCAAGCGAATCTCAGCATGAATAGCACTTCGTTCCACATCTCCGGGGTCGTCGCGTCCTTCACCCGACGCCTCTGCGCCCGCTGCTTCGAGCCGTACGAGTCCCAGCATGTCTGCCACCACACCCAGCGGCCCCTCTGCGGGAGCAGACTGACGCGCCGCACGTGTTGATCCAGAGGTAAGTGTCGGTGCGGTAGGCACTCGACACCCTGCCATGATTTTGGCTGACGTGGAGACGAAGCTGGACGCCGGGTCAGCGACAACACAGAAATGCTTCAATGGAAACGCCAATGGGATTGAACATCGCAGACTTGTAACTTGGGCTCAGCTCTTCTCCGGGGACTCTCGTAAATCAGCAAGGGGGGTAATAAGCAATATATTGGGGCTCGTTATACAGATGATTCAGCAATGCGTTCGCAAGTACGTCTCTTGTCTCCCTGTCAATGATCTATGACTGACTGTCTGCCGCTGTTAGCACGGAATTGAATAACCATCATCTATCGGGACGGGGCGAGAACATTCGGTCCACGGCAGTCGGGTGATGACTTGCCATTACGACGAATGTTCTTGGGCGAATCATGGAACTGGTTCATACCGCCCGCAGAGAAACGTGACAGGGTAATAAATCATTGAGATGTGGTACTTTGGGAAATAGTATCGTAGTTGTCGCCATTCAAATCAAGCATCACGCAAATGGAAAGCCTCGTCGATCTTGGGTATTAATGTCTCATTCCGTATGTTTTTTTGTATGCCGGCCCCGAAAGTCATGCTGTGTATTGTACAAGCGTAAAGCCACGCAACCCAACACCGCCAGCCATGCCAACCACCCAGAAGCCAAACCTGAAAAGGAGAACCGAATGCCTATGTCGTTAACTAACAACATCCCTCACCCATTCCTTTGCCAGCCTTGACACCTATCAAAGCCACTGCAGTAAATCACGTTGCGTAGGGCGTCGCCATGCCCCAGTCGTAATGCGCCGTCGCGAGAAACGCGGCGGCGCGTAGGAATTGAGCCTACCCAATGGCCGTCCACAGGCCAAAGAACGCCGTCGGACAGAGCGTCTCTATGACTCTTCAGTCCGGCGAGGTCCTCGCTGAGACATGGAGCCGCCCCGCTGGCCGCCGCGTCCGCGTCCACCACGGCCCTCGCCGCGTCCACGTCCGCGCCACTCGCCACGGCCACGTCCACGGTAGCCTCCCTCACGCTCGCCACGGCCGCGGTTGCGGCCCTGGACCTGGTGGAAGCCATCGTTGGGGTCAGCGGCAGGAGCGGGAGCCTACATGACAGTCAGCATTCTGGTCCA